TCTTATGAGTCCAAGCAAATCACCAACCCTTGCATGTCCCTGCGTGTTCTCTTTCGCGTCCCAGCCTATCCACATAGAGTATGTGGGCTTAGAGCTGCAGCCATTGATGGGCCACAAAAAGATAAGCCTTTCGATACAGATAATAAAGCTTATAAAAAATCACCGGAACTCCTGATGTATAGATCATTCGCAATACGCTACCTCCAAAAATAAGGTCATGCAAAGTGATTAAGGAAGTTTTAGAAGTTAATACATCGGAAGAGCAAAGCTTGTAATGAAGTAGTTGGCTTGTACATTGCTAGAGTCCCACTATTCTGCCTAGCTGTAGTCCTGGTCCTCGAGAGGGAGGGTGGAAGCTTGCCCCACTAACCAAGCTGAAAGTTACCTGCACAAAGGTATAACTCACCCAACATCAAAAGTTATATAGCCACAAATAGATGTGTTTGTGGCTTATTGTATACTGCTCTACATTGAATGAATTATTCTTATAGTTTACTGGGTTTTTATGGTGATTTTAATGTATGGTGTTGCGTGAGGTGGCTGCTTTATTCATTGTTGGGTCGCGAAAGAACTTACAACCATCGACGACTCTAGCCCGACTCGATCTTGATGCCAGTCTCCACCCTTACGCCACACTGAAGTGGACATGAAGCTCAAGCCAGCAACATCTGCCATGTGACAACGCTTCACACTCAGAAGACTGTCTCATGACCGACATTTGACGCAGAAAGGCTGTCAAGGAACGGGAGATAGGTAAGGATCTATGGATAAGCTGCCTATGCTTATTTCTGGGTCTTATGCTCCTCAAGGTGGTGCTTATGCTTTTAGCTTCACTTGCACATATACGTAACTTACATATACCGGCAGGTTAAAAACTATGGTTCCTGACTAACGTTTGGCTTGTCATATCGTTCAGCTGAGTCATGTGAAATCATCTTGTTTTAAGACAGGCGCCAAGACAAGTTCCGAAACAGCTTTGCAGTTCCGCAAGAGAGTGTTGAACCCGCCAACCTGCTTGCCCAAAGGACATGGACACCCTGGTTAGATTTGGCCTGGAAGAGGGCGGCCCCAACGATCGCTTTGCAGGAGACAGCGGGCTACGGTTCTCGGAACAAGCAACTGCCGTAAGTAACAAGGGGCTCTGCATGTACATTTGTAAATAGGTCCTGGTATGATCGGGGTACTTGGCGCAGAGAAAGGAGGTCGATTCCTCAACTTTTCCGAGGTATCACCTTGCGCTCTATTGTCCCCTTTTCTCCTCGGGGAGCTGTGCTTGAGTGAATGTCACTGCATCGCATCTGAGCCATACCGTGTTGGTGAAGTTCGCAGTTGTCGATACAAACAGAACGCAGAGAAGCAAAGCCCAATTCAGGACTAGCTGCAGGTTATCAAGAGGTTGCCGGTGATGTGACGGATGTCAAAAACTGGCCGGGAGCCAAGACTGAGTCCCCCACCAAACAGAGCCAAAGCCAAGGGACAGATCCACGCTCCATCTGCCATGATTGGACAATAGCTGCAGGGATGACAGAAGTTCAGGTTGCCGTACCCTTGGCCTTGTGAACTGTCACCAAGTCGCCCCGCCGTCGGTGACCGATTTTGACTGGCGTTGATGTCTCGATGATGCTGACTACCAGGCACACTGCAGAGGCTTGCGGTTGTTGTCCTCCATCTCCCGAAAAGTATGGATACAGCCTTGAAATACACGAGGCTTCGGTATTTCGAGCGGTGTCGTTTAAAATACTATGAGCTACTCAATACATATTGAATTTGAATCTCGATGACATCCCTTTGTCAAATTTAGTGATCGGACATTGGAAGAACTTTCTTTGCCTTGTCCACACTAAGGACGTTTTTTACGTATCTCAAAAAGACACTAAAATCGACATGAGTTATATTCAAGTACAAACGCGGCGGTGGTCAGGGCGCCCTTCATTTGGGAAGTAATGACAGCTGGCTTGCCCGATCCTGATGTACACTCTCTGGGAGTTGATCAAGAGGCAAATGCTGTGCGACAAGCTTGGCGAAGAATTATACAATATCATGGCGAGCAGTATCGCGTTCCTCCGACTGCCGTTAGATCATGAGACCGAGTTCTGCACCTTCTGTATTGTCTTTTATGTAAATGCAAGATGTCGTAATGCTCAGCAAAAGGTCACTCCCTCACTTTTTAATGAGGACTACGAGATAGACGCAGTACGATATTAGAGCCTTGAGCCTCTAGGGTGTTCAAGCAACAGATCGGGTGTAAGTGAGGGCGGGAACCATAGATTCCTCGTTTCTTCCGTTACAGGTACGTAAGGTCCTCTCGATCAAAACGGCGGGTGGCAGAAGACCCACTCTGCTGCACAGACCCGTTGGTACGCCCCGCTCAACAAAGTGCGGAATGATTCCTTGCCATTTGACTCCACCGGGATTAGCGGTTATGTATGGAGTAATTTACGGGTTACGGAGAGTAAACTTACAATACGAATTACGCATCCGTACACCATGCTATTCGGTGACCGGAAGTTAGGAAAACGTTATGACATTGTTCGCACTCGCCGAAGTACGCTGTTGATTTTGCAACGCTTTGCTCTCACTGACCAAGTTCGCGTAGACCTGGAGATTGCAATGTCAATTTCAATGTTCTCATGGATTTTTTGACCGATTAAAACCACATGAAAGCTAGCCATCGATGAAGCAGCGCCAACGGCAGGACGTGCAAGCCTCCTTTCTTGGCTCCTGTCGATTCCGGCTCTTCCTGCTGGATGCGATTCCGATGAAATTCGATGTGGATGTGTTTCTGTGCTCGCTGATTCCCTGCACGATGCAATTCAAAAGGGGGAGCTTATTTTGACATCCCACTTCCCCGACACGCCATCAACATACCCGACAGTGAGGAAAACGACGGGGCTTGTGACAGATGTCTTGTTGTACGCAGGACGATGAATCTGAAATCTTTAAACTGATGCTAGTTTCCCAGCAGATAAAAGAACAAAAACCAGCCCAGGCCAAGAAGTTGTGCGATAGTACCTACATGTACACAAGGTTGAGGTGGCAAACGGCAGGCGTTGGGGTTGACCTGAGAGACTCTATCCCATAGATCCCTGAACCGTTCGCTTGAATGTTGACAGACTCACGCCGGCGAAGCCATTCACAATCTTCAGACTAATTACCTGTCGCTTACGTTCTAGCAAGTTCAAGTTGCGGTCCAGTCAAGTTTACTGCTCTAACAACACAAAAGCTCTGAAATTCCAGGTCGTTTCCGCCATTTCGGAGACATCAACACACGGTAGAACTGTAGCAAGGTTAATTAGCCAATACCTGAGCAAGCGTGCACACTCTGCAGCCCCTACATCATACATAGTCTTTCCGTTATCCAAATAGTACTGTGATGTGTGTAAGTAGGCAGGGAGGTATGTAGTGTAGTGAACAGAGTATTCCGTATAGATCCACCGCAGCGATACGTACTTCTTCCGGATTGGAGCGGGACCGTGGCAACCTTGGCGGTCCCAGTTTCTCCTGCTCCCATCTTCCGCCCCTTCTGGGGCCCCATCAATCCCCGGCAGTGGCGGAGACAGCCTCATCCTTGCATCTTGGTTCCGACTACGTCCCGGGCACCCTGGACTGAATAACCAGACCTCCACTGCTCACGCTTGTACATGTGCAAGATGCAGACACAGCTCCTGTTCTGCTCGTTTTACTCGAGGGCTGTCAGTTGACCGGCTGCTGGCCTCGTGGCGGCGTGCTGGTTCAAGTCAAGCCCATGTAAAGAAAGCGAGTATAAGATAGTGTAGACGATAGAGAAACCAGATAGGCTCCGTCTCTCCTTTCTCTTTTCCTCATACTATCTTCCAGGTCCCAGTTTTTATTTCTGCCCTCTTCAGGGATGTACGAGACGAGAAAGAAAAATAATAACTAAATTTTTCATCGTCGATACGATACATGAGTGTGTCGTCCCAGAAATTTGGCCGTCATTTCTCCGGATCGCCCTGGACACAACCCGTTTCGGACTTGCTTGGGACCAGGTACGCCGTGCCGCGTACCGATAGTCAGGCGCGCTGCTATCGCAGCAGCCCTTTTGTTAGGTTCCCAAGCCTCCTCCCGGGCCTTGGGTCGCTGGTATGCTTGCTGTGAGCCTGGTCTGGTCCCTGGTGTAGTTCCTGGCTGTTCCTGGGCTCCTGGCTGCTCGCAGGACCAAGCATCACCGGATCTCAAAGGAGTCCACAGTGGCTGCTGATCGTGGAGACTACCCGCACGCCCGGCCTGCCGCCTGCGCCTTTGCCTATGCTTGGTGCCCAGTGCCCAGTGCCTAGCAGTACGCGACGTTCAGACGGCCATCCCGTTCAGAGTCCACTTGGCCAAGCATTTTCTCTACTCCGCTGCCGGGACCCTTGGGGCCCTTGGGAAAGGTTTTTTTTTTTTTTTTCACTCGTCGATCCCTTCTACCGAGCATCCACTCTCCTCCAGGTACTGAACTTGAGGGCTCTCGAGAAAGAGGATACGAAGCATAAGGTACGGAGCATACGGGGGATACTCTGGACTCGACGCTTACTCCACACCATCCCGCTGCCCCAAAAAGAGGCCTAAGAGAGCCTTCACGTTCGGACGACGCTGTTGTGGTTGGACAAGCTCATTGGTTCCATCCCGCACAGTCTGCGACTTGCATGCTCAAGCGCAAAGCGCATGCCATCCGTGTCCTGTCGCACCCTCAAAGACACTTAAGAACGCTGATCCGTCCTTTCTGCCCTGTGATCCGATCTCCCGCTTCTCAGACTCACGTCTTACCCGACAAAGGGGTTCTTGCTACCACACACTTACAACACGTACATACATCTACACCTACACCTACACCTACACATACACACACATTCCTCTTCGTACACACTTCTCCTGAGCCACAACCACTGCGTTGGTAGTTGTCATTGACTTGTCCGGCATCTGCTCCTCCTCAGCTTGACCTTGGAGACGAAGTCTTACTTCGACCACCTACTCCCGTTGAGCTCTCTAGATCTTTCACCATGACGACGATGACGATCGACCACAGTCAACCGCGCTTCGGCCCTTTAAACTTCGACCTGCCTTATTCAGGGCCGCACTTCACAGATCCTTGGGCCTCGTCGACGACAGGATCAGGGCATCAGGCCGGAAGCCAACATCATAACCTCTACGTCAACAATCAGAACAGTACCGGCCTTCCTCATCTCAACCTCAGTGCTATCCCCAAGCACCCACAAGACACCCCACAGCAGTCTCCGCATCATCCGCCCCAGCATCACGGCAGCCGGGCAAACAGCACGGCGTCGATGGCCCCTTACTCACCCCTTAGTGTCGCGGCTCCTCCGGCAGGCAGCCCTCCCATGCATGGAGTGTACAGGCATCATAGCTTGGTTCCCATGTCCCAAGATCTCCTCAGCCTGAACAGGTTACAACACCCGACCACGTCGGCTGGATACGAGACACCGGCATACGCAACCGCTCCTTCTCCTGTCAGCCCGACCTACACAACATCATCGGCATATGACCACATGAGCTACGGGCCGGCTCAGATAAGGGGGTCGTTTTCTTTGGGTCCGGAAGACACGGCGAGGAGGTATTCTCAACAGTCAGTAGCCTCCAGCTTGATGGACTTGCACTCTCCCTCCGGCGATGGCACGGGGAGGGGTCCCAGAATCTCTTTGTCTGACTATGATCGCAGAAACCTGCAGCCCGACGACCGGCGAAGCTTCCAGGAGGCTCTGGGTGCCAGCCAGGGGATGCTCTCGATGAGCCATGACAACACCCCCAGGAATATCTACGATATCCGCCACAGACACCGAGGCTCGACAGATTCGTACGGCTTCCCGTCGGCACACTCTGCGACTTCGAGCATATCTTCGACTGGGTTTAGCACCTATTACGGGGGTTCGGTAGATGGTTCCATCAGCGACTACTCTGCGACTGGGTCAGACTTTGAGCCCCTAGCTGTCCGGACACTTCCCAGGCCCTCGGGTCTCATGTCCAGCCAGCCGCCCGCGCCTCAGTCAATGATGGGCTCCTTCAGCTCCAAGGTTTCGTCGAGCACGCAGAAGAAGCATAAGTGCAGAGTATGCGACAAGCGCTTCACGCGGCCAAGCTCCTTGCAAACACACATGTACAGCCACACTGGAGAGAAGCGTAAGTTTCTGGTCCCCTCACTGGTCGGCCATCGGATGAGTTGCTAACCGATGCACGACAACAGCCTTCAAGTGTGAGGTCGAGGGATGTGGACGGCAGTTTTCGGTTGTTTCCAACCTGCGGCGGCATAAGAAGGTGCATCGGAACCAGGCCCAAGCCGAGACCCCCTCAGAAACGGGATCCGAGGATCACCAGTCAGAATGAGTTCGCGTGCCGTCTCGGAGGATGGACACGGTGATTGCTCAATGAAGACGGAAAACACAACATACTACATCAACAGACATTCCTGAATGACCGGTTTGAACGCAACCTCCACTGGGGGTCGCAGGTATAAAAAAACCCGAGCTAAGCATGGAGGGCGTGCGGCGCTACCTTCTCTTCATCTATTTTTTTTGTTTGCCTTCTCCAACTTGCCGTAAGCCCTCTTCACATTACTCCTGTTAACATGCCTACCGCGTTGTGGTATCTATTTCTCATGAGGTCTCATTTAGTTGAGGATGGATGATGGACGGGTCGGTATGGAGGGATGGAGGATAAGGTGGTTCCAGATGATGGGGATGGGATACCCTCATGGATCGGCGTTATGGGTTGGCAAAGGTGCTCGGTTTCTACTCTTTTAAAGCTGGAGACATTGTATTAATGTCTTGGGAGGAAGGGGATTAGGTTTTCTGTGTATTTCTCTCCGTCTCTTCCCTTATTTGTATCATGTGGTATATATACATTCCCATTTTGCTCATGGACTTGGGGTCTGCGAAAGGAGGGGCTGAAGTGGTTTCGGCTTTTCTTATAGTATTTATTGTGGATAAGCATATGCTTTGTAATTCATGGATCGACAGGGGAAGCAAAGACTATAAAGGGATGGAAGTAATCACTGAGGTAAATAATAATTCAATCAAGCTCCTTAAAAGCTAATTGACATTCAATGCACGATGCTAGTCAAGACATATCTAGGTAGCTAGTTGAATCTGAAAAGTTTGATAACCACAAATTGATGTGCGACTAAGTGAAGTCTCATTTATGTATTTTGAACCTTCAGGAGTCAGGAGCCATGCTGTTGAAACCAAGGATGATGATGCCTTAACTAAGACAATGCTGTTCTCTTTCGTCGCTTTGCCACTTGTGTCTTGTATGTTCCCACTCTGCATTGTTCGGTGAGAGCAATGCAACATGAAGCTTCTGGCAGACTACACTGTAGTTCAGCCCCATATCTCATACATACTTTGTCTCATGGCTTTGTGCCACCGAGCTGTGCTTTGGATGGCCTACCCAATGGGTACGTAGCTTTTCTGTTTTTGGGGCTTCTAACAGAGGGCATTGCCATTCTCCTATCGCCCTCTACCCCGTCAGTTCTGGGGGTTTGCTTACTCGAATAAGCCAACTCCGATTATTCGCCGTTCACCGCCTATTGTTCAACTAGCTCAAGTATCCAAGTAGTATCGGTCGTCGACATCAATTACCGGCCGGGCTTCAATAACTCACGCGACACTAGCCCCACGAACCTGGATCCAAAGTCTGCGGGGGATGAGTAGGGAGAAAACAAGCTTTCTGCAAGATAAACCACAAGGCCAAGCTGAAGCAGGTTTCAAGGCAGCTTTCTGCTGCGGAGGACGAGCTGCTGGAGTAGTCTCGCGTTTTGTCCAAGCCGACCTGCCTTACTAGGGAAGACAGACGTTGGGGCGCGAACCTCAATGGGCAGCTAACGTGGCGGGCGCGCGATTCCATTTTTGTTCTCGGTATTGTGGGCCTAGGCACAACTTCTGCGGAAGTCAGTCCTCATTAGTCCTCAATCTTACCTTTCATTAAGGAGGCGACGGCGACAAAGTCCAGCGTTGTGTAGAGTACACGACAAGTGTAATTAAGATAATCATGCCCAAGCATCTCCACGATCCCTACTTACTGAGTATGTCATCAAATGATATCAACGGAGCATGTGGGATGTGAAAGTCCGCTCATCGCCAGCGCAAAAATAGAATGGTCTATGGGTTTGCCTCCGCAACGCCGGCACTTGTGTCCGCCAACTTTACGTGGTCGTCAACGTGAGCCCCACACTGTGCCTGTAAATGTCACGTAAAATGACGTCATTAATTACTGGACACTAAAAGCGCCCTACGGTCATTACGGCAGGGCAATTGCAGGGATACCGGGTGCTGCTCTAGCATTTATACCCCCAATTTTTTCTTCGCTGGGCTATCCAGCATTCCAAAACCGAACACAATGAACACTAACACAGTTTTGGATATCCATACACTACATAAGCATTAAAGAGTTTTGTCCAAGAGAAGATACGGGAAGTGTTTCGAGGTTGCACTTAGACGCTGCAAGGACGTTACGGATTTGCACACACCGCGTACTTCACCCGTTACCTGTGCAAGACCGTATCAATACACACTGGTTTATCTCGTTGCGGCTCTCATCCCTTGTCGGTTCTGAAACGCGCGCCGATCTCCTCGAGGGAATCATTTTAGGACAAATTGGTGGGGGTGCCAATACGGCCATTACGGCCACAATCGGGTTCACATGCAACGTCAGGTGACATCCATCTTTTAGCTTCCAAGTTCTGCCGAGTCGACGTGCCTAGACGAGTGACGGAGCATGCGCACTTTTTGGCTTATGTTGTCTCCTAATTTGTACTGAAAGGACTTGTACCTCCTGTCAAGGCTCGCCAGTGCAGATAATCAAGTGTTGACTTGGTGGATCACCACGTGGCCATGAGCAAAGATTTTTGTTGACTCTGAAAACCTTGTGCAGATCTTTAGGGCGCAAGAGCTTGGGCAAAATGTTTAGAATTGGACCCTTTGGATCTCGAAAATTGTGCGCACACCAACCCTCAAAAGATATGGAGCCCGGTCTCCTCTGTCCAACGCTCCCGTTCTCCCGTCATCTTGACCCGTTTCCATCCGGCCCGCCTATCCAACTGACAAGTTCCCCTATGTTTGGGTGTTATCTTCTCACTGGTGGGTGCAACAACAGCACATCCACCATCCAGTCCGCCGGGTCGGTTGCGGTGGTTTCGTTTTCGCTGTTTTCGTCTTGGAGCCCCGACATTACGGCCAAATTCCAGTGACAATGTTTAGCTCCATGGCAATCGTGCCACTCTCTACACACACCGCTTGTTTACTTTTGGTCATTGGGCCACTACACTGCTTGGGACCTTTCCCGACTCTGAGGAACAATGCGCCACATGTGGATCGTGCCTACAAGTAGGGTAGTCAGGGCGAGAAGGGTTAACGGAAAAGAGGAAAGAAAAAAAAGCCCTGCAGAGGCTCAGGGTGTCATGCCACTTTTTCCGTCAACAGCCGGCACTTGCCATAGGAACTCGGGGCTCTGTGCTGCACAAATCGGAACTCGAGCTCAGATCGCGACCATCTAATAAAGTACACTGAACGCTGGTTGAGCGATAAGTGTTCTGTATGCGTGCTGGTATCATAATCAAAGGACATGAGCATGAACAACATACCGTTGAGGTGTGTTAGGGAGTTGAGACATACCTAAGAGATACACCCGATATGCTATATGCCTATGTGACCGTGCTACCAATACTATTCACTCCAATTGTGGCACAACAGCCGAGACTCGAAACATATGCACAGTTGAACGAAGATCCAGTATCCAACATCCCTGACTTGGGAACCATGGGATGAGCTATTCAGGTAGATCTGCCATTCCACCCTCACAGATTGCGCGTTCAAAAACGAGATATCAACGCCGTGATTGAGAGACTTGATCGAAGCCACAGTTAAGCTTCATTTCAGCCACTCAAGTTCCGGCTTTTGTGACAATCTGGTTGTGTTTCGACGGAACTCCGTATGAGATTTGTCTCTCTGTTGTGCAACGAATAAAATCTCCGGTGTGACACAGTGGTTGAGCATCAAAATATTTTCCGGATGTGGTCTTGAGGCCCGGCCATGATACAAATCTGAGATATGGCATGCTCCTAGCTTCTAGGTTGTGGTACCAATCAAAAAGGCTGTGCCTCTCGGGAGGATACCGGAACTTTCCGTCAAGGGGTTTTCAAGAACCACACACTGTCTTAGTCCGTACATCTACTCAAGCGTTCAATATCGGAACATTTTCCCTCTGTGAGACAGGAAGAGGGCATTGAGAAACACGCCTCTCCGGTTATATTGAAGGTCTACTGACCTCATGGATCCAATTATTAAAAGGTTAGACACTACGTAATTATCCTGAGCATTGAGATGAATGCCTATATTTGAACGTGGAAGAGCCGCCAGAGCCAAGTCATTCCAGAATCATGCCAGAAAAGTGCTGTGCTTCTTGTTGCAAGCACTCTAGCCCCTGGTACCGCATGGCACAAAGTAATGGCCCAGACGCTCCCGGAAATGTTAGGCCTATGACCTGAGCCTTTCCATTGGAATGAACTTCTCGTGGACGCACTAAGAATCTATCTTTACCGGTGCCTGACTCTGAAAACAACTAGCCTCACCCCAGAAAAGTGCTCTCTGCAAGACGTAGGCAGGAAATTTGCAATTTGTTGCTATCACTCGCCAAATAACTCGAATGGTATCGCAATGCCACACGGGAACGCCAATGCGAGACGTCATATTGGACCAATCTTGAGGTGTGGTAGATTGTAGCGATACTATCCGTTATTTACAAGCAGGCCAACCTCCTCAGAGGCAGTCAAGCTAGACATTGGCAAAGATAGGCACAACAACCTCTCTCAATTCCACACTGGCCCTTCTCGTGACAGCGTCGCCTCGGCGAGTTCACGAGGTTATCCCCTTGCTGCCATAATTCTGTGTTGAATGGTAGGGCATGGATGAGAAAAGAGATGATAAACATTAACACGTTGGCGCCCAGCAGAGAACAACAACGCCGCCGCTAAAATAGCCTTGGAATCATATGAGAAAATCGTATCGTCGTGAAGGAGTGTAAGAACAGAAAAAAAGGATAACATCGGAACCCCTCCGAACATCTAGCCCCTTCATTTGGACAGCTCCGGAGAATAGAACAAGAAGGAAGGTAACGAACAAGTAGAGGATGAAACATGGCTGGGTGCTGGGCCGATCGCAAATAGCAATCGCAATTGCGAACCATCCGCGAGGGGCGGACGGATGAAAGCATAAAACAATTGAAGGGCACCACCTAAAAACAAACTCCCATGGGTATAAACACAAACATGACCACGCCTCCATGTGCAGCAAGCAGTAGAAGAAAGGAAGAAACGCCGAAACGAATTAGTACAAGAAGCATCATCGTCATCACGCACACAACAACTGACACCAGAAACGCCAGCCGCCGAAAAGAACCAACACCTGTAAATGTACCGACCAACCGACCCAACCAGCCTATTTTGTCCTGCCCGGTTTCGTGTAAGGAAAGTGATGCAACCATCCATTCAATGCATTTCCCTCTTTTTCTTTTTAGTTTTCCCCTCATTCTAGAAGCTCTTGAAAAACCATCAAGAAGATTCCCCAGAGATAATGTTCATTTCCTCCTTTTCCTCGCATCACGAAAAAATCAGCTAGACCTTCGGCGCAGCTGCTGCTTTACCTCTTCCAAGCCCCTCAAGCAACTCAGCGGGCGGGATACGTTGGATGCCGCTACCACGATCATACATGCTCGTGGGCGCAGGGACATAGCCCTCGCGCTTCTTGCGGATACGGTCGAGTACCAAGCCCGCAACGACGATGAGGAGCACCAGGCCAAGCGAGATGGCCAGCGAAATAAGCACCACAAACACCAGTGGCATGCGGCCACGGCCCTTGGCGAAGAAATCGGAGCGTTCCGAGAAGATGCGGGAGATGCTGCCGGGCTGGTTGCCGACGTTGGTGGTGAGGGCGTAAGGGGTAAAAGAGGTGCCGTCAAAGAGAACGGCCGAAGCAGTAGAGCCGGTGAAGTTGGAAAGAAGGATGGAGCCGGTAAGAAGGAGGGCTTCATCGCGATGAAGAAGAGGGGAATCCGGGTGGGACTTGGCGAGGGAGAGAATTTGCAGGCCACGGATGGTTGTGCCCGGCATGAGAATGGACTGACCAGCGCGCTGCCAGGTACCGGACCCGTCGGTCTTCATGAGATACGGTGTGCCATCCGATGAGACACCCGAGACCCAGACCTGGCCGCCGTCGCTAGTGCCGGCAGTAATAACTGTAACTGGGCCTGGGAGCTGATCAGCGCCGGGGTAGGTATCCCAAGCTTGCTGTGTCGCATCATAGTGGGCGAGGAAGGACGGGGTAGTGCCGTTGATAAGAAGGTTACCGCCAGCTAGTAGGATGTTGTTAGTAGCCCACATCAGAGAGCTGACGGATCCTTCGAGGTTCTGGCCAGCTTGGTTCCACTGTGAAGCAGACGTGCTGTAGAAGCAGACACCGGGGCACTCGAGGGATCCGGCCAACTGGAACGTGCCGCCAACATAGACATCACCGGTGCTGTCACGTACAGCGATCGATGTGACGGTGCCATTGCCACCAGTGAGAGCAGGGGGCTGGGTGTTAAACGCCCTAGTTGCAAGGTTATAAGTGACGAGACCGTTGACTTCAACACCGTTCACATTGCCTGTCACCCTGCCACCGGCAAAGAGCACATCACCGTGAATTGCAAGAGCCTCAAAAGTAGAATTGGATGCGATTTGGCCGCCAATACCAATAACCTCGTCTTCCTTCGAACCATCCAGGATGAGCAGGTTGTGAATCGTTGAGCCGTTAGTTGCTGTCGCGGTAAAGTGGCCTGCAAGGATGGTAAGGTTCCTGCCGTTTCTGGTATCAAAGACCCCAGCAACGACGCCGTTAATAACATCGGTCGTTGAGTCACCATCCTGCTTCTTCGAGATTATTGAGTCCATAGACCGGCGGATGTCCACAGCCACTCGGCCGAGAGTCTCGCCTTGCAAAATCGCAGCGCCCTTGGTAGCCAGGCTAAACGACGAGACCGAGCCCGCATAAAGTGACGGCCCACCAGTGAAGTTGAGGATTGAAGCTGACAGAATGCCCTGGATATACTCGACAGGCAGGTCCAAGTTCTGCAACCAGTTGTTTTGGGAAGGAACCCAGACAGCAAGCCCATCCACTTCAACAGCCGGGTTGTTGCTGAACGGAAGGGTCTGGTTAAAAACGCCACTAACACTGACGACGACCTCGGGAGTTGAGCCAGTAATATTCATCGTCATGCCCACCACGCGCCGTACATGGCCGTTGACTCCAGCTCCGAGAGGGCTCCACGTGTCCTTGACGGTGTCGTAGACAGCGACGTTGTTCAGTCCCTTAGTCGAATTGTCCATGGTGCTGGTGAAGGACCCGCCGACAAATAAACTGGTACCATCAAGGAACATGGAGTCGACCTTGCCGTTTAGACCACCATCCAGAGATTGGATACTGGCATCGCTTGCCCTCAAAGCAACAATATTGCGAGCACTAGAAGAGCTGAAATTTCCTGCGATATAAGTGGCATCGCTGGAAGCGGCCAGAGCGCTGACGGCTGAACCGGATGTGAAGCTGGACCCTAGGCGGTTGAAAGCGGACTTGACAAACTCATTGGCATTCACGCGCTTGCCTGGCTCGTACTCGTATAGCCCATTAAGGCCACCAGTGCTATTAATTAGAGTGAAGCCAACGCGCTGGGCCACAAACGTCATAACATTTAGGGGCTGGCCAGCCAGAGGGGTCATGGTAACGGCGGGCCGGAAACTGTCTGAGCTGGCGTCAATGTAGCCGAGATAGATTTGGTCGTACTTGTCGAAGTTGTTAGTTTGATAGAGGTCAACCTCGATCGGCTGGCTCTTTGTCGGGTCTGCCGTCATTTTACCAGTAATTCTAATCTGCCCACGAGTTGTGCAGCTGTTGTCCTGAAGACAGCCAGGAGTGTAGAGGTTGACTGCGTAATAACCCGACTCCTTGATATCCGGTTCGAAAACAACCGAGGCAGAAGACTCGGTGATTGGGGCCATGAGCTGCGCAGACAGATACTCGGTGTTACTCTCACGAGATGGCGATACATACCACGGGCCGGTGGCAGTGGCTTGCGAAGGGAACTTGATACCGGCACAAGTTGGTTCGTTAAAGTCGTTGATAGCATAGGCGAAGATATCGTCGCCGAATAACTCGATGCCATTCAGACCACCGCCAGCGCCATACCACTCCGAGATGTCAATGCGGAACTCGTTCATACCAATCTCATTGACGAAGTGGAAGTCCTGGAAGAGCACAGACTTGTTGTGGCTCAATGGGCATTGGTTCGTGCAGCTCGCGTTCTGGCCGGTCTCAGGGTCGATGTAGGTGAAGTTCATGATGCCGTTGATAGGGAGCGCCGTAAATCGCCACGTCTTCGTGCCTCGGCCGTCTTGGTGAGCGTTGTACAGACGCAACTTCGTCGGCCGGAACCCAAATCGGAACCTTGCCTGCCACGCTCCTGGGGTGTTATCGTGCAACAGCCACGTATTGCCGGGGCCATCCTCGCCGGCTCTCTTGCAGATGATGGCGCGCGGGTCGCTGAAACCGCCAACGGTGGTCGAGGAAACGCCAGTAATATGTGCGGATCCGAGGTTGATGACTTGGCTGTCGGGAGTGCTTGGAGTGCTCGTGTTTCCTAGACCTGTGAAGCTACCCCCAAAAATAACGTTGCCATTGGGGGCCTTGGTGATGGACGTCACAGGGCCGTTAAAACCTGCAAACGGCAGATTGATCCAGCCCTTACCTGGCTGCCAGGCAACGGCATTGGTCGAGTTAGCGTTGACGAAGGTTCCTCCCACGTACACAGTCTTGCTCTTCTGGTCGCAGTAGAGGGCGTTAACTTGGCCAGTCAACCCAGGGAGTGGTGTGACAGTGGCGGTGGCCGGGTCGAACAAGGCCATGCCAGTCGACTCGAGAGCCCTGCCGTCATGGTCAGAGCGTCGGATACTGGTGAAGTTGCCGCCTAGAACGACCACGGTGCCGTTGTTCGTGTCGAGAGTGCACATAGCGCGTATTGTCGCGTCGGTGTCGATGATGGGCGCTAACACGCCATTGGGCATTCGCGCAAGGAGCTGCTCGCTGCCATTGGTGCGATAGGGATGCTCGCTCTGTCCCTCGAATTGGTACAAGGAGATACCCGTAAAGTCGCCAGCGAAAGCTACCCGGCCGAGTCTCGAAAGGTCGAGGTTTGCGGATGGAACGGGGTTGAAAGTGATGGCGGTTGCCGGGGACACAGCGACAGAGGAAAGAAGAGAGATGGTGAAAGGAATCAGGGAAGCGGTCGCATAGCTGGGAGCGGCCTGGCGCCGCGCGAAAGATAACCGCATTGCGACTTGATCGGAGGTCTGGGAGCTATTACTGAATCAATACTGCGCGCGCGCTTGGCTTGACCGACGAGCAATCCGGGTCGAGGAGTTGAAAGGTCGGGATCAGGATTGCTCAGTTTAGGTGTGGTCGGGTCCAAGCTGCTAGTAATAAGCTGCCATAGCCGGTCGGCAAAGTCCAGTCGGTCGGCAATGACGTTTTGCGCGTTGGTGAGATGATTGATGAGTGGGTGGTACAAGCTTGCTGTTGGTAGGTGGCGGAAGAATCGTGTTGTTGGACGCGAAACGGTCTTCTGGTTTTGTGGTGCGATGGGCTCGTCGTACCAAAGGCTCAGCCGAAACAGACGGAAGTCGCGAAAGACGAAGAGACACACACACACACAAAAAAAAAAAAAGGTAAAACCAAAGGAAGGTAGGTACGGCGTCAATCGGGCTTGCGCATAAACGAATGTGAGGAAGAAAAAAAATAGTGGTAAGTAAACTGGGCAGGGTCTCGCTGCTGGCCGCGATGGCTGGAAACAACGAGAACGAAGGCCACGGTCGGGCAGGGAGCCTTTTCTTTTTGGTTGAGAATTCAGTTCCCTGATGCCCGGATCCGATCGAATGTGCTGTGAGAGCAGGCTGCCAGATAAGTCAGCTGCTGCGAGGAATGGAAGACGATGCAGCAATAGTTTCCTTGCACGCGGGCGCCCAGCTGTTCTTCATCCACTCACATCTACTCAGGTTGCCGGGTCGCTTGGCAGCAATCTTTCCGCAGCTAGCGAACGGCGGAGATTGGCGGCGGGGTGTACGAACCTAACCGTGGCTGCAGGGCTCGCTGTGAATGGTCAGTTTTATTGGGGCTAAACCGTAACAGGCTAGGCAGCGTTCCAGAAACATTGGGCAGACGACCAGAGCAACACCAAGCACCAAACAAAGCTGCCTCGTACCTGGCAATTTCAAGGACTCTTTGGCAATGCGCACCTCGCTGATCGTGCGTGCCGATTGACCAACGCTTGCCGATTTGATTCCTGTCCGATCGATCCAGTCGACGTCAGCCTCTGCGATCCTGCGCTCGGAAACAATACTGCCCACAGCAGCACCATTGGCGATCCGAGGTGTATGGCTCAAGGCCCCGGCAACCCAAAAAGCATAGACCTTTGAGTCTGAGACCGCTGGTGGGGCGGAGGACAGCCAGCTCACACGGTTCTAATTGGCGCGTGCGTCGTTGCTGCTGCTGCTGGATGCCACGCACCTCTGGCTGTTCTGGGCGTTCGGTCCCGGAGCCAAGCTGGGCAATGGATGGGTTGAATGGAGCAAAGGTGCAACGAACCTAGTGGTCACACACGTCCACAGTGTGATATCGAACTGAGAGCTGGCGATGGTGGAGAGAGAACGCCGTGTCAGACTCGGAGCTTCACTTCAGCAAGATCACCAGCAATGCAGCCCGCCGTCGCAATGGCCCTCGAAATTCGATGACAGCGCTTCCGCGAAGCGGATGTGGTGGCTGGCAATGGGAAATTTGGCAGTCGCAGTGAGCGGGTGGCCGCAGAACAGGTTGCGAGTCCTGTTGCACTGTTTGCTGGCCGGTCAGGCTGGTGAGATCGAGATATCGAGAGTCTCGGCTGTTTCTAGCCCCCTTCTGTCAGAGATCCTGTGTCTTGACAGTCTGGGGAGGGGGATCAGGGGCTGCATACCTCCGAAGTCTCGAACGAAGCCGGGTTGCGCGACTCTGGGCAAGTGCCAAACGCAACCGTCGAACCACGAGGAGCAGCCAAACGATCCGATATTTGAGGAAAGGAGTGTCTGGACGGGGTATCCCTTTGTCCTGGAGACCTGATTATTATTCTGGCTTTTGTTTGCCAGATAGGTAATTCGCTACGTCGAAAAAAAAAATGAGTGTATTAAGTTGGCAGTTATTGCGATGTATAATGAGTGTCGATGGTCCCCGTCCCTCCAGGAAAGTTGTCCTTTTGGAACCTCACTGATGATATCCAGCTGGTTACCGGGAAGAGAGAGAAAAGGAGAAAATGAAGAGAACGCTCTGTGGGGATTACCGTCTTGGTCGGGATCACCTGCTGGAGAGGTTGGATCCGATGGGTTTTTGGCTTTCAGGGGTCCACGGCGCCAGAGGGGAGTAGAAGGATTATGATTGGACAAGCTGCGTCTTACCAGGGGGAACGCTGTGCCCTTGCAGCTTTCTCCTCCACCGCAAGTTTGACAATTCCATGTGGAGGTTCTCATGAACAAAGCCTTCATGCCCAGTCGCAGTTTTAGTTCCTCGAGTTCGACCGTGAACTTCTGTTTGATTTGGTTCGCGGGTTTCGGGTATATACACAGCACTTGCTTACAGCGCCGCTAACCTCTACTTACCCATACTTTTCTGCCAGGCTCAAGCTGTGGGTACGGCCATTTCCGCTCGATGTCGCGGTGTTGAAGCCGCTGCTGTGACTCTGACAGCCCATATACCACCATTCCCCAGAAGTCGATAATACGACTCTTTGATCCTCAGAACATTCTGCTGCATCAGAAGACATTCTCTTCAAAAGATTAACTTCGTAATTCTGCCGCTGCCAGTCGTTCTTTTAGTGTTTATAGTATGTACTTCTGATCGCTACCTACATCTTGTTCTGCTGTGCGTGTTGCAGACGGGATGGAGGTCCCTAGTGCGGATCAGATATCAACGACGGGAAACTCGCCCGATACCAGGATTGAAAGCATATGGTCCCGATTATGCGAAACATCCTTCGAGAAACAATACCAATAACGACTCTCAGTACGGTGGCATAGGGCTGTCGGCAGACAATATAGGTAAAGTCTGCGTAGTTGTCCATGCCTACCCCCTTAGATGCGGACATCAGAGCGGAATATCAACTCTGCAAACTTAGTACCATTCTTTAACCTTCGGACGACAACGCCATATAAAGATCATGAAGTGCAAACACACACGCTGCCGATCAGGTCACCGTCCTGGCATCTGCTCCATCATAGATGTGTCGAATTCGCAGATTGGTCCCTCTGCGATTAAAATGGAATAACAGACTCACTCATCTCAGCATGGGTATCAAATTCATCCGTTCCTCAATACGGCGCGAACTCTCACTCAGTCAGTCACACTCATCCAAGACCCAGGCTTAACGAGCATTCCCTTTCTTCTCTTCGGCTCTCATGCGTTTCTTATACTCCATTGGCGTCTCGACAACACCACGAGCCGGCCCGTTCTTTCGCCCCAGCGCATTGTTGAAAAATCCTTTCGAAAGCCGTGGTTTCTCAATCGACCACATTCCTTTTCCCTGCCGCCTGGCCTCTGCCTCGGTTTCCTTGTATAACCGCTCCAGCTTGGCGCCCCCGAATTCGGCCCCAAACTTGCCTTCGTATGTGGTTGCCAAACCACGCTTCAGCATCTCGAGGGAGACATCCTTGCGCGGGAAAAAGAAGGGAGGTGTTCGCACGTACACAGTGGCGACGACGCGGTCGTACTGGTCGCGACGGTAGATATAAGCGCGAACGCGGCGGTTGAGGATCAAAGATTCGAGGTATGCGAGCGCTTCGGCGGCGTAGGGTTGCGCAGGTCGGCCAAAGTATGCGCCTTCAGGGGCGTCGATGCCTGCAAGACGGACCGAGATCTGTTTTGCTCAAAGAGTAAGGGAACAGGGGAGTCGCGTTGGCAAATGGATACGACAATGATCCAACACTAAAGCGGGAGACAAGAAACGGGTAATAGACTCACGGTTCGACCTTTCAACACCTTCCTGTCTGTTGGCACATGGCGCAGCCAGCCCCAACCGGCCAGGCGGCCACCGGGCGTGTGAAAGAGATGGAAGCCGTCGCCGTCGCCAACGCTCGTGACCTTGCCGAGCAAACTACGGCGACGAAAGAAGCTCGGGGCGATGTGTTCGCTCCCGGGGAAGCGGCGTAGGTAGTTCTGGTAGAAAGACCAAAGGCCAATGCCGACACCTGCTGCTAGGATCGGTGCGATCCAGTTCTGTGGTTGGTAAAGGTAGGCTCGGATGGAGTCTTTCAGCGAAGTGGTTTGAGTCGGTGATGTTGCATTGGCTTTGGCGTTGGCGGCTGTCACACCCGAGCACCTCTGCCGGTCTCTGTCTGCTGCCATCTGCAGCATTGTTCGTCTGGGGTGCTGTGTGAAATTCCACTCATTGTTGTTGCTTTCATTCAAATCAGGCCATGGCATGTTTGATCCCACAGAACAGTCAGTTGACAGCGCCCGCGGGACTTGGCGGTTTAGCGGGTAGTTCATACCATCCACCAGAGTCAGGAGGGCTTGGAGGCTGGTGGCGGGGCACTGACCGCTGCGGCTGGCGGCCGGTCACCAACTCACTGCAGTCACCAGAACCCGTGGCCAGAAAGGTTGGGTCCCGCTTTGGTGGATCAGCCACCGCGGCCCGCTGGGCAATGCGGGGACCGAATCCACCAAATGATGCACAGACCACATTCCTCGCCAGGGCTGTGAACTGCGCTCGATCTCATTTCCTCAAGAGTCAAAGCCCTTAGTTGGGCAGGTTGGGCTTGCTGGACACAGAGCCACACGAAAGGGGCTCACCATCTGTCCCAGATAAGTTGTCATGGCCAAGATAGCTTTCATACATCCAAAAATCGATTGCAAGGTGTGCTACTCATTCAAAATCCATACGGGTCATCAGGTAAAAAAAAACAAAAAAAACAAGCTGATATAGGACTCAGGTCGCAACATGCAGTTCAACACCCAACACCTGTGAGCCTCACTCGCCCCCTGTCATAATCGTAGGCCTCTGTTTGGTCCCCTCCCATCAGTATACCGAGTAGCAGCTTCAACTAGCCAGTCATATTTTCAAAAGGTAATAGTCAGGTTGCCATAGCTAGTGCCTATTTGGAAGCCTTTTCCGTTCAGGTCGCCGAAGGTGTTACTGATGCTCGGCGACTTGGACGTATTTGATGCAGTTGCCTTTATGCCTTCGGCTTTTTCAAGAAGCTCCTGAAGAAGTTTGATAGATGTGTTCAGGGTTTCCTGTTGCAGCTGATTCTGATCGATTGCGCTCTCTTTGCTGTCCTCCGAATCCACATCATCACTTTGGGACTGACGAAGCTGTTGAAACTGTTCATTCAACTTGGGCAGCTGATTATTTGCTGTCGCGATTGCATTGCGAACCTGAGTTGTGGCGAAAATCATGTCTCTAGCGACGTCTTCCATTGCTCTTCCCTGCCGACTTGTGCTATAACTGTCATCGAGTAAATGGTTTAGCATGTCTGCCGCCTCGCCGAATATATGTTGGGCGCTTACAGTGTCATGATGCTCACCATGGATGTTAACGTGAGCTTGCAGTTTCTTATTTGCGCTGACATAGTCGCAATCTGATTCTGCCCGAAAATGCCAATCTTCAAACGGTCTCGAAACGATGTCTGCCCCTCTTTGCTGTGTCGGGTCCAACGTGCAAGATCTTCCTGGAACTTTTGACACGCCTTCGAACATAGCTGCATGATATGTTTGGCCTGGTTCGCAAACTCCGGACCAAAAAAGTTCCAATCCTCCTCTGGAATGCCCTTGACAGTGTTAAGTTGCTGTTCAATGATGATTAGATCGTCCCTAAGTTGGATAATCAAGTCGTGGGCATCTCGGATATTTTGGATATCGTTGATCAGGTCCCGGACTCCTTGGACTGCAGCAGCGGCAATCCCTATAACTGCACTCACAGGTTCCATTGGGATGAGCAGCACAGTGAGGTCAATGTGAGATGACTCCAGAGCAAACCCGCTGTAGGTGAGGTCGGATGATAACAGTGCAAGGATGCCAAGTCTGGAGGCATGAAGATCAGCCTACTTTTATACCAACCATGGGAGCCTGATATGCTGCATTCAACACTGGTTGGCTGCTACATTGCCGATGGCAGTGCTATCCGAAAAGGGAAACGGGCTTAGCACACCCTACATATCCAGCTAGTGTACAATGTCCAGGGTTGGGAGTAGATGCGGATGAAGCTGGAGGGGACGACACAGTAGGCGAGGAGGGGAAGGATCGATGGTTCAAGAAGGAGTAAGCTGAGCAAGGGTCTTATACCTCGAGGGCAAAGGTGATTATGGGATAAACGATAACTGCATATCCTGCTGCGCATTGGTTATGATCACGCGAATCGTTCAACGAGTTCTTCGATGGTATAGGAGGTCTGGACTAAGCTAGAAGATGGATGATGCTATACAGACGGTGTATTGGTGACTAGCATGAGGACTGCTGACAAGTTTGGGTGTACCTGCTACTAGGTACAACCTTGGTTGCTGTGTCATGTGCTGGTTGATAACCTGCAGTACTCGTTCTGGGCAAGTCCCCGCTCGGAACGACGCGGCTACGAAGTATATCTGAAGAACATAGTTGTGCCTTTCTCTTGGTGGCCCCAGGATAGACATTTCGATAATACTTTACACCAGAACAAATGATTTGTAATCCAGCAGCAAGCATCCGAGAAGGTTAATACCAATGTTTTCCGTATACATATTACTTCCCCTGGAAAGACTCGAGACTCGAGAGCTCTACTATCTTCCTTTGACATGGCTTGACGACTAGTTGCTGCATGCCTCAGCTGAGGTATTTGAGCAAGTCAATTGAAAGACGGGCAACTGCAGAGCCAGATAGCCTTCAGCTCTAAACTTCGTTCATAAGCAGTACCATATACCTGACGTGTTTCCTATGCCCGAACTGCAATGACTTGTCAAATCAAAACAAAAGGGAGCGATAGGCAAGTTGCATATGTAACTGCGGGCTAACCAGCAAGCTCTTATATAGTCTCATGGTTGGTTACAAAAAGCAGTGGTAGCGCTATACAGGTTGCCTTGATGATCACATTGGCGAGGGTTATGTCGGTGGGACACTGAGGAAGGGCGGGGTCACGGAGGGGTTAAGGCACGGATGCAGTCACTCAAACAGCGGAGAACATACGAGATGTGAGTCATATTATCCTTGATAATATATGCATCAGATCAATCGATCATTTTCTCCGTTCTCGACTTCCCAAGCTGCCATAGATCTCTGTATCCAGGCAGCCCTTGTCCATCGAGGCGACAAATCTATGTCCACGTCGAGAACAGCAAACGATGATGTCGAAAGCATCGCAAACGCCACAAGGTTCAAATCGTCAAGAAATATTGATCTGTTCAAGGACTGGATCGGTCCACAGCACGTTATTTTGAGCCGACATCAAGCCAGGAACAACAAGGACCGAGCTAACCTAATGGACACGGGGAACTTAGGTCTGACTCAAACATATCAATCACTTTTGGAATATCGGGAGAGGTATCCCAGTTGACCAAAACGATGGGTAAATCACTGCAACCTTCGATGCGTATGCCATGTATATTGAATGACATGTTCGGGAATGTCAAAACTGACTGATGGTTCTCGTCACAGGGTTGTCTTCCCAAGCTATGACTCGTCGTTGATCATGATCGGGATCCCGCCATCGCCGACAGAGGTATTATTCTCTCGCGGATACTTGCTAGGTGCTTTAATCTAAGCGAACGTTTAGCTCTTGTCGGATTGCTTGGCGTTGGGTGAGTGCACATGCTCCAGTTCCTGCTCAATGCCCGAGTACCCATTCCTCGGTGCTGGCATTAGCGTGCTTCGGGCGAAACAATACGTATCGATCTGGATATACCTCTACATCTCCGATAGAACCAGCTGACAGATATGGTGGATATTTGTATATTAAAACACAGGTGGCGATTGAGGCGGTGTTTCGAATCGCAGAGGCGTCACGTACCATCTAGGTCTTCTGGGTAGACGCTTTCGAGGGGGCAAGCCATACTATAGCTTTCGGAAGATTGCCAATGCAGTGGAATTGAGAATAGCAATTCGGTCTCCTTGATAAGAAGTCTGTCGGCGTGTTTGCAACTAGCTTTCCGATGACAAGAACGGGAAATGGGTCCTATTTGTCAAACGAGCCGACGATCCCAGCTTGTTTGGTCTCGCATCAGGATGCTCCAATAAGCGGATCGAGCTTGAGAAGTACCTTCTCCGAAGAATAACTCTGTCACAATCACATCTTGGAGTTCTCGTTTTGCCTTTGAGCTTGGAGTTTGGAACTAGCAGGACGACGTGTTCAACATTGGTCCGATGACCGAGCCAGAGGCCCTTTTGCTCCTTGAAAGATTAGGGACTTTGGATGATCCCACAGTCGCAGTTTGGCTTGTGCAAGAAATTGGTTATGTCCCTCTTGCGATTAGTCAGGCTGCATCCATCATACAAACAGGAAGGCCGCTGAAATCACCGTCTCACTGCTTATGAAGGCTTCGTGAAAGTCATGACACCAAAATCAAATACTTGAACACAGTCTATGTTGACTCTTACTGCGTTGCCTTCGGCAACATACATAGCATGATACTGTCCTTCGATCGGTTGTTCTAGGAAATTGTCCTCATTCGGCGTTCTACCCTAGAGCTTCTTTCAGCTGTTGCCTACTTTGCGCCACATTCCGATATACCAGATGAACTTCTCCGGATTCGGATCAGGATGGCTCAGATGAGAATGACTCGGATCAAGATGGTCAGAATCAGTCCAGGTCGGGTCAAAAGGGGTATCAAGACAACTAATAAATTTGAGGAGCACAACAGGATTTCCTAAGGGTGGCCCTTCATCAGATATCTTATTGTTTACCCTCAGCGTTGAAGATCTCCTAGGCGGCGTGGCGGCCATGACTGTGACATCCAATCTAACTAAGCTTAAAAGCAGTAATATTTGGGAAACATCGTCTACAAACCATGAGACTCTGCTTCTAAGCTATGATATTATCTTTTTTAAAAAGAGCTTGAATAGACAGAACACCTTCAAGACTCCAAGTACCCTTATACAACTGTCTCTCGACGAATTGGAATTGAAAAAGACTTGGGGGATGGAGCCATGATATGACCGCGTTCCGAGCCCTGAAGCGCATCGTCGATCTAGCCATGATGATCTTTGAGGATTTTCCGGGAACGAGGTATTTCCAGCTGTTTACCTGGGTCAACACAGAGGCATCCGATGAACTTGCGCTAGTAGTTGATCTTTATCGTGAGATCTAAAGTCTTTAGCAAACTGTCGAAAACCAGGTCCTCATATTCATGCGATTGTATAGCAGGGCCACTTTGTCCAGGATCTTAGTATCAGGTGCTTTTGGGCAAAGATGGAGTTCGCCATCACATGTTTTCTCAAACGTATGAAGTATTATGACCTGGCACTGAGTATTAGAATGAAAACAGCGGAGGTATTCCGTCATTTGTGCAGAGACATATACTCATACATTGGAGGACATGGTACTGCTTTTTGAATCTACAATGTCAAAGGAGACATGAAACAAGCTGCACAATTGCGAGCATGGGTGATTAACGCGGTGCCAAATTCCGTCTGCTTAGCATGTAGTTTGTTGCATGCCATCCGATGCGGAGTCATCGAGTCAAGAAACATAATACTCGATATGTGAGCGCGAGATGGCTTTGTTGCACAAAGAAAAGGCCCTTTTTAGCTTGCTCACTGCAACGGGTATAAACATCCACTCACGCTCCTCCAAGAAGGTTTTGATCTTACCACATGACTCGATATTAACTACATCGATGTAAAACATCAGAGGATATGGGTGACAGTGTTGATTGACGTAATCACTCTGTGTGCTAAAGTTGCGTCAGGTATCTCAAGTCTGAGCCCTGCCAGGGGAAACAGGTCAACACTTGATACTGGATTCGACTTCTTCAGACCTCAAATACATGATATTTGACCTTCGATTGTGGTGCCTAGGCCGGTTTGGAAACGAGGGCGAATGCACAATGCGCGGTTATGATGCCAAGATGGCCGTTGCTATCACACGGGAACGGTATTCTCTATCTCGAGGTTAATTACTTATAGCTCAAGCTGTATTGCACATGCTGTTGTGGAATAACCAGAAACAGTATGGTTATTGAACGTTCAGAGACACTCTTGACTAGGAATACCTTGGCCATGATTTGGCGATGGCAGGGTCACCATCAAGATGCTCTTATGGATGTGAGGAACCATGTAACTGCTTGGAAAAATATTGAAATATCATATAATTCTTAGACTCTATACATATTACTTTTATTGGAAAAATGGGGGGAGTAGAGGATGGGGGATGAAACGGGGTAAAGAGCTAGGAGGGAGGTGCAAGTAAACATGTGATAGCTGCCCATACTACAAAGGCAGACTTAACCCCGAGATCATCCGGAAGTCGAGGGAGCGATATCTGACTAGGTATATAGGTAGTTACTATTTGAATGTATTACTTGAATGATGCAAGGAATGATGCGTTGCTGATTTTACAACGAGCTGTCATGTGTCGTTTACCCTTAACATTATGTACATGGAGCAGGAAGTCTGAGCATATTGTCAACCAAGCCAGGTAAGCTTATCAAATCCTGCTTTCAGCACTGCGGTTGGGCCTAGCCTCTGGACAATCTGATTTATTTTGCCCCTTGTTCTGGTGAAGTGATAACATCAGCCAAGCTCATTTCATTTCCCCCTTTCCTTGTCGAAGGAGATGCATGGCTTCTTGCTCTCCTCTCAAGAATCAGAAGTGCGCATCAATCTCTCTTTTGCGACACGAAGTCCCTCTTTTATTACTTCCAGTTTTTTGGTCTCCAGATAGCAGCGCGGACACACTCGTTCGCGCAACCGAATGGTGACAAAGGAGTGAGGGCGGAGCTCACCACAGCTGCGGACCATAATGGTATTCCCGCTGGATTTGTTGAGTAGGGTTGGAGAAGGAAGAAAACGGATACAGGCATGTTTGCAAGGCTGTGCTGGAGTTACTGGATCAAGAAACGCGGAGTGGAAGCAGGCATAAAGAACTCGCTTATGATAGCACATCTTATATTCTGCGCCGTTATAGGCAAGGGGATAGCGGAATTGAGGTGCAAGTGCTGTTAATTCTGTTTAGATCAACACAGAACTGGTGTTCCGGACTTCCTGGATAGACTGAGGAGTGGGGAGATTGCGTGATGCTTCTGCTCCTCTATCCATGAGGGAATAACGAGAAGAGCTGGAAGACCAATTTCTGTTATATAGGAGCTCTTTGGGAAACTGTTTTATGGTCAAGCAACACTATGGAATACACTTGACATTTCTACAGAATGTCGTTGTTCCAATGGTGACCAAACGCGTAGATCTAAGGATGATGTTAGCGGTTTCCTTTGTTATCCCACAGGACGCGACCACATTGTCCTTGTCTTTGTTCACCTCCTTGAGTGTTTGCAGAACTGCATGGCTGGGATTGGTGACATCAAATAAGATCAATAGGTTATAGGATGAAAACTACCTTGAACTTTTTCCAGCTTCAGGAAAACAGATTGCCAGTTGTTCATTTAGGGCAAGATGGAAAGGCAGATGAGGATACTAAACGAGCTGTCGGCGCTGCTCGTCAGAAACACGATCTATTCAATGTTGGCTGCCTAGGAAGAAGCACCATCTGAACCATGAGGGCTTCCTTGTAATACTCCGGTCCTTTCAAGAATCTTGCTTTCAATCACTTCACTAAAGTCTCTCGCCCAGAAGAGCTTGCCTCGATCAGCACGCTCTCCTACATGTGGCACTTTGAATCGCATCCTCCGCAGGGTCTTCATCAATTTAGTCTCCGTGTTATCTGCAACCACCACGCCCAGATCGGCCGCCAGCAGGCATGCCAGATCTGTTGTTGAGTCCCCAAAATAAACCACCCGTTCCTTTCCGTCGAGCTTCATCACAGACTTCATGGCCCGTAACTTGTCCTTAACGCTCACCAGGACATCTCCTCCTAGTTCAGCTGGGCCCTTCACCTCGCCTGATGGAAGAGAAACCTCATTGGCGATCACCCTATTTTTTGAACGCCCCTCTTTCCAGTCCTATGCTGCCTTCCACAACACCTCTGATGAACTCTGCGGACCAGTTGACACTAACAACAGCAACTTCCCAATCGTCCGTATTTGTCCCACCAAATCGCTTCATGAACTCGCCAAAACCCTTCCGCACTTCCACACAAAGTTCCCCACCACCATCGGGAGGGACATTGGTATCCTTGCTATGCAAAACAGCCGACCTTCCCAGATCCCTCAAACCCCATTTCCGGGTTTCAACGTCCTCAACACTCTCATACTTAGCCTCTTCCCAGCTCACCAGCCCTGCAAAGAACCCTGCAGCTCCGACGCGTGCAACGCTGGCTTTCTCAATAGGTTTGACGCTCTCAAGGTAGTCAAACTCATCGTCTATCTCCCGACGGTCTTCTTCACGCGGACGGTATTGTGCCGAGTGGGCAGTATGGGCGGCGACATACTCCCGGACGATGTCATCCCACAGAGAGAAGAGAGCAGCTGTGTTTGGACGCTTTTGTGATGTTGTCTTAAGCTCTGACATGCATTCTGGGAGGAGAGGGGATGTTGTTTGTTGACATTGGTCGCTATGCGGAGACGCACTGGTGGTGCGGGCGATGGAGAGGGAGATGAGTGCGTGAAGAGTATCGGTGCACGTTATAGTGCCATCAAAGTCGAGGAGGAGTAGCGGCATTTTTGGTTTTTTTTTGCTGGGCTCTAAACTGTTTGGTCTGTTAAAAAGTGTTCTTCGCAAGATACAGAGTGGAAGTGAGAAGGCTCGTGGTTTTATGCTACGAGAAGTGATGCGTGCCGCTTGTGTAAGACATGTGAATGAATTCATCTAACCCTCTGTGTCAATGTGGTCAGAAGAGTTGGCTGCTGGGAAGGAAAACGACGTTGGAATGACCCCACAATTTTGTTTCGTGTGTCTACGGTAAGATCCTCACCCTGGGAGATGGGATGAGACCTGTTGCATGAAGACGCAACCTCACGGACCTGACGGACAACAAAGAAAAAGCCCGACGCGGCAAAGAGTGACCATTCTTAGGTTCGGGTATCTTCTATATCGACTATGACCTATAAACGCTCTTACGCAAATTACGACGTGTTCCCGTTATCCTTACCGACAACGCCAATGCGAAAATAGGTATACAGATAGCGCCCAGGAAGGTTGTTATAAAGTCACTGGTGACGCCTTGATTTCATCAAGCGAGCTGGTTGTCCAACCTAAATGACGTCCTCCATCCTGATGTCCTCATCATCCTCATCTTCCGACGGCACATCTGCCCTGGGCACAGCAGCGTCATCGGCAGGCTTGGGCAGCTCGGCCAGCAAGTTCTGGAACTCAGGTTTGAGTGACCAGTTGTTGGCAAACTTGCCAGAGCGCTGCAACACGGCAACCTTCTCGAGACATTCGCGGATATAGGCCTCGGGCTGCGGGATCCGTTGGCGGAAGGCCTTGATCGACCAGTATTTGTGCTGTGAGAAGCACTTGGCGATCTCGTCCATGAGCTGGTTTTCGGGCCAGCGAGTCGCTTTGTTCTCCATCTTCTTTTGCTTCGTCGGCTTGGTGCTTGTTTTCTGTATGGGGTCAGAAAGGCTGTCACATGTCCACAAACCAACGTTGCCTGAAGACCTACGAGATAGTTCTCCCAATCATCGCGATTCGTAATCCCATTGGGCGGCAGCTTGTCGACGATCTGGACCTGCTCCCTCACCTTCTGTGCCTCCTGGGCACGCAGGTAAAGGAAGCGGTCCGTCTCGGCATTTTGCGCGGGAGTGCAAACGACTTCATGCTTGATCCTGCCGGCGATCCGAGTTTTTTCTGGATCATGTATCAGTAATGGCACCGCCGTGTATACGTAAAGAAGTGAGACGCGCTGGGGCAAACTGACTTGGAATCGGCTTGCGAGCGTATGGTGCCCCCCTCTTCGTGCCGCGCTGCTCTACAGGCTGTTCTGTTTGCCTCTGCTGCTTACGTAGCAGATGAGCTGGAATACCCTGGGCCAGGGCATTGGCTCGCTCCTTGTTCTTTGCGGCATAGCTAGGGAGATCCTGCTCGGTGAAGATAAACGTATTGTGCACATCGTGGTTTACAACATCCATGTTATACTCTTTCGGCAGTGGCTGGTGAACCGCCAAGTCGGGCTTGAGGCGTAATCTCAACTTCTAGATACAGACGCAGTGTTAGCAACAATCCAGATTGGCTGCGAACACTGCTTGCGGCTGGCGAGGCTAACCAAGTTGCCATCCTTATCAAACCATTGACGAATTGACCCAATCTCGATTTCAGCATCGTCATCCAGCTGAGACCAGACCTGCCAGAGGTAGCTGGGCAGACGGGCCAGATACATGCGAGCGCATTCGTTGGCGTTTGGGAATTTATCGTAGAACTCCAAATCAGGCGTCTCATCGAGCGCTTCATCGACATAGGGACTGCCCGCGTCGGGCTCTGGCTTGATTTGTGTTTGCTCGGCCATCTTCTGGGATGCTTCGGCAGATGCGACTTGGGCACGGTGCAGTCACAATTTAAATGGGGTGATGGGCAGTTGTTGGGAAAACTTTGGAGGACGGCGCTGGGTTTGGGAAGAAAAGGAGGGTTAAAGCGTCAGAACTCGAAATTGGTTGATGATGGGAGTTTGGAATGAAGGCAAAAGGATGGACAGGTGATTGTTAAGCACCCTTTCTGCGCTCTGAGTACCTGCTGCCTGCTGCAGGACGGCGGGCGCAGCTGGTGGAACACGACAAAGACGCTGGGCAGCGGGCCAAGCAGCGTTGGATGTCAAAAAGCTGTGGGGCTGGTACGTACCTACCTGCCCACAGGGAGATGTGGGGCATTTCTTGGCAACACAGGTTACCTCATGCTTTGCGCTTTGGACTGCTTCCCTGTTCTTTCGTGCACACAAGGGCAAATTATCGGCACAAGAAAGAGTATAATGCCAAAATCATTTTGTGTTATTTACCAGGACACAACTGGTAGCGCTGCTACTGCTGCTGCAGTTCGGCAGCCAGTACATGAGTAGTCCAGATTTGGGATTAGAGAAGTATGTACATACATGCCGTACATACCGATGAAGGTTGACGCGATACCTTTGATGACGCACGTCCTGTGCTTCTCAGCCTTGCGCTGTGATTGGCCGGTTTAGGGCATTGGACACCCCGTGCCTGCCCACGCTTTCCACTACAAGGCATCTCCTTCAGTCGAAAAGACCGCTTTCCTCTTCCTGCTCCTGCTCTCACACCTCCTCGCTTTAATTCTTTGTTCTTTCCACCGACCCCCATTATCCCATTCAGCTTTCGAGTCATCTGTCGCACTACAACCACAGCAGATTTTCGACTGCGAAGCATCCTCTACTTACCATAATCTTCCTTGCAGTAGCATAAACACGGCAAAAGCAGCAAAAGCACCGAAAATTCGAAAATGGCAACGGAAGAGGAGCGCGAGATGATGGAGCGCATCAAGCGCCTGACTGACCAGATCCAGCTTCATAAAAGTCAGCAGCAGGCGGCGGCAGCGGCGGGACAAAACCCCCCGCCGTATTATCGATCGCATCATCGTATGTCGCAATGGCTTCCAAAACTTTTGCGCTATCCTACCTCCTGAACTAACAGACTTCTCAGACCCGGGCTATCCGTCCTCATGGCGTCGAGGTGGTTTTCCCCATCGCGGTGGCCACTCGGGGGCTCGAATGCCACTTTACCGCAACAAGACACTCATCTTAAACCGTGGACCCCAGCAAAATCAGCAAACAGCGACGGCAGAGGCGGATTCTGGAGCTACCTCGGATGCATCCACAACCTCGTGGATTACCAAAACTGATCGCCACCTACAATTGATTAACGCCTCGGTTTATAAAAACAGCATTCAGGCCCGAACAGCTGCTCTCGAACAGACCCGGCGTCAGAAAGCTGCGTTCAGAGATAAACAAGAGCGCGCCAAGCTCATCAGCCACCTCAACCGAATGGCAAACAGCGGAGGTTTTGGTCAGACTAATTCACAGGCCCCCGCCGAACAAAAGTACGAGGTCACCGTCCAGGGCATCCGATTTGTTGTAGCAAAGAACGGCAGCAAGTTAGTCAGGGTTCCCGGTGCGTGGTGACCTGATTCGTTGGCATATCTTTGCGTTGCGCTCACACAACAATAGGCGATGTCAACTCGCCCAAGGCCACTCCCAAGATGGCCGTTATCGGTGGAGTCAAGTTCTACAGAAGCAAAAACGGGAATCTGTATCGTCACGGCGTTGTGAAAGCCCAACGGTATGTTCCCCGGCTCTCTGGGAGTGGGCAGCTGACTCCAGCGTTGCGCGGCAGGCAATCCGGTGCCGTCAAGAAGGTCAATGTGCCTTGCAAACAGTTTTCCATGACGGGTAACTTTATATCCTCGACCGACGCCCCCGGGGCCACATCCTCGAATCTGACCGGGCTTCGGTAAGTCTACCGAGTCGTGTTACTAACCGGATTTTCCCAGGTGTTTGCAACCAAGGCCCACGCTGCCGCTATATCCACGACCCCCACAAAGTTGCCATTTGCAAGGACTTCTTGCTTCAGGGTGACTGCCCAAACGGCGAGCATTGCGACCTCTCCCATGACCCTACCCCCGAGCGCATGCCGACTTGCTTGCATTTTGCCCGAGACAGTTGCACCAAGTCAGATTGCAAGTATGTCCATGTTAAGTTGTCCCCAACTGCCAAGGTGTGCCACGATTTCGGCTTTTACGGCTATTGCGTAAAGGGTGCTAGCTGCCCTGACCGTCACGCCTTTGAATGTCCTGACTTCAGCAACACGGGTGTCTGTAAGAATAAGGGCTGTAAGCTGCCACATCGGGAGCGGGCCAGTATGCTTCGCACCAGAGGACTCGGCAGTGGCAGCGGAGGAGGGGCAGAGGACGACGAGAAAATGGAAGATGTCTCGAGCGATGACGAGTCGATTGACAGCGATGATGTCGACTCGGATGAGGTGGACGAGTTCATTGGCCAAGATGAGACAGGCGGTCTCGATTTCGTGGAGCAGAGGGACTTCATCGAGCTATGATGATGCTCGCCTCTGACCATGCCCTCCACACCTTAATTGTGCTTCTCTTCCATCACCTCTGCTGCATTGCCTTTTGGCATTGATACCCTTACCCTTTCTGATTTTACGCTACTTGTTAGTCTGCATCATTCCGGGGGGGGAAGAGGAGGAACAAAAAAAGGAGAAGATGAGTAAAGAAAAAAAATCAGGGAAAAAAATGACTTTAGACCACGAGAGGGAAAGACATATCTCGCCCCTGGAATTGCTGGTGCAAGGGGGCCTTACAGTGTGTTGGTTTATTCTGGCCGTCCAAAGAGTACCTACCTATATTTATAGCACCCTCTGTAGAGGATAAAAGAATGTAATGAAGACGAAAGCCGCTTATTGTCTGCTGAGCAACCTAGGGAGAGCTTGACCGTCGCATTAGCGACGTAGTTACTTTGCAAGATGACTTTGATCTCAAAGGAGGTATACAATGTTGGTGCATAGCAACCAAATTCGTCCCCAGCCGGCAAGTGCAGAAAGCCCCATTCGAGGTAGATGTCACGCGCATCAGCCTGGTCATTATCTGGATTTATTGAGTAATACCAAAATGCTAAGACAGACATTGTCTTTAGCCCCGAGTATAAACTTCTCTTCAATCGAATAGCTCTCTGAAACCGCAAACGCTCCAGTAAACGCCTAGCTTCCAACCTTGAAGGTCCTCCCGCTGGCTGTCTTGCGCTCCTTCTCCTCGTTGTCAGGCCTCGCTCTGCGCAGAACTGGCAATATGTTAGCATCTGATAGTTTTCGAGTTGGGAAATGAGGATACTCACCTTGGAGGAAGTCTGCTGTCCGCCGCCGCATACGCGAGTGGATATAAGCCTAAGTTGATGAATTTTTAGCTTCATGCGTGTATACAAAGCCGAATAAGTCTCACGAACTTTGGAGGCTTTGATGTGGTAGTGGAAGTAGTCGCGGAAAGTTTGGAGGTGGGAGATGACCTCAGGCATTCTCTGGGGAGTAAGATGACGGGGAAAGAGGACTGTCACAGCGTTAGTATTGTCTAGAGAGCTCCTCGACATAAAGTCGGAGGACAGGGGCGTACCAAAGGTGACGTAGCCAATTTCTCCCGTTCCAGTATTCCTAACCCCTGGGACACCTTGCAGCTCAAGCGGCGGGTCATTGCGGAAGAGCACCTGGGGTGCGTTCTGGATGGCCCGCCGGCGGGCATCGACGAACTCCTGGATGAAAACTTTACCAAAAATACGGTCCGTCTCCTCACGGAAGACGGTGCTGAAGATGACGGTAACACGGTCGTGGCTAGCCTTGATGTAGATCGCCTCCTCCTCGCGGTAGTGGATCGCCTTTACCTCACCGCCTTCGCGTACACCCTGCGGTGCCTCCTCAGAGCTGAACTTGGCAGCTTCGGCCTTTAGCTGATAGTGTTCTTCGTAGGCCTGCTCAAACGGCGCAGCCATGATATTGCGCTTTAGCAGTGCAATCTTGTTGACCAGCGCCTCGCGCTCCTCCTGAGACTCGGGAAGCGCAGTGAGGTCAACAACGATGGAGAAGTCAAAGCCCGGCTCTGGCGGTACCACGTACGGCCCATATTCGCGGTTGAGGACCTTGTCGGCGCCGTAGCGCAGCAGGTCCTGGAAGCAGCGGATCTGGATGGAGACCATGATCTTGGTCTTGGTTTCGGGGGTTGAGATGTGGAAGGTGACACCATCGAAGTCGGACGCGGTCTGGTCGATCGACACGGGGTTCGCTCTGGACGACAACGCGAGGAGTCAGCGGCCCTGAACCAGCAAGAACACCAGGAGCGAGATTTCAAGAACATCTCCAGGGAGTCCAGGCCGCCTGTTACTTACCCAGGAGCAAAGCGCTCCGTGAGGATCGACTGGATCAGCACGTTCTGGTAGTCGAGCAACAGCATCTTGGCGGCGGGCTGGGACTTGTTCGTGCGGCTGTTGCTCACGGCAGTGTTGTTGATACGAGGGAAAGCCGGGCTAAGTCAAGTCCCTGAATCCGCCAGAAGCACAGCAGGCAACTGTCAGGAGTCGTTGATAGCGGGGCCGCGTGCCCATGGGAGAGCTGACGTTGCGGCGGCAAGGAAGAGCAGTTAAGCCAAGTCTCCACTAAGACCCTGGTCCCCTCCCCTGAAGCTTGCCATAAGTGGGCTGGACGGAATCCCAGCCCGCCCCGCCGCCCCACCAGCTTGGGAGCGCGCGGGCAGCCACATCTGCTGGCCGGTCTGTGTGGCTAGTGTGCAGAAGGGAGCTGGCCTTTGCTCCGCCAGCCCTCTTATCTTATCAGGGCCAAAAAAAGTTCAGAATGAACATCCCACTGCGTGCCTTGCGAACAAGAACGCCTGAACTCATTGGGGCGATTGGAGACGGTTTCCAAGTTTAAGAGCGAGTTGACAGCCGCGCGCCGCCAACATGGTCAAGTCATACCTGTAAGCGATCCCATCTAAGTCGACAACTTTAAGTTTCATCCTACAACCAGCGGCTCACTCACGCGTACACTAGGAAGTTTGAACCCTCCAAGTCCTTCGGCGTCGTCGTATCCAGCAACTCCAACCTCGTCTGGTCGTCCCGGGGAAAGGCAGGCGCCGGCGCCGGCCAGGCCATTGTCGCCGCAAACGAAGAGGTTCTCGTCTGGGACATTAAGAAGGGCGAGCTTCTAAGCAGATGGAGGGATGAAAATTGCAAGTTCAGAGTTACGGCCATTGCGCAAAGCCGAACTGACCCCGATGTGTTCGCTGTCGGCTACGAAGATGGCAGCATCCGTCTATGGGATAGTAAAATCGCGACGTCCGTCGTAAGCTTCAATGGGCACAAGTCCGCCATCACCGTTCTCGCCTTTGACAAAACTGGTGTGCGCCTCGCCAGCGGCTCCAAAGACACCGACATCATCGTCTGGGATCTCGTCGCCGAAGTCGGACAGTATAAGTTGCGCGGTCACAAGGACCAAGTCACCGGCTTGTACTTCATTGAGCCGGACCCGGTTGTGCGGACTGAGGGTGAGGATGACCATGCAGTCATGGCCGTCGACAGCGAGCCAAGTGATGGCTTCCTCCTTACAACAGGCAAGGACTCCCTGATCAAGCTCTGGGACCTGTCATCGAGGCATTGCATCGAGACGCATGTTGCCCAGGCCAACGGCGAGTGCTGGGCTCTCGGTGTATCGCCTGACTTTACCGGCTGCATTACGGCTGGCAACGATGGTGAAATTACGGTTTGGGCTCTTGATGCGGATGCGCTAGCCTCGTCGGCACAGAAAGTTGACCTCTCACAATCCGTCAACTTCCTACAAAACAGGGGAACTCTACACCGGTCAAGCAAGGAGCGGGCCGCGGAAGTGGTGTTCCATCCGCTTAGGGACTATTTCGCCGTACACGGTGTTGAAAAGTCGGTCGAGATCTGGAGGATACGAAACGAAGCTGAGATCAAGAAGACGCTCGCTAGGAAGAAGAAGAGGAGAAGAGAAAAACTAAAGGAGAAGAAAGCGGAGGGAGCTGATGCCGATATGGACGAAACTGACGATACTGATATCGCCAAGGCCGAGGTATCTGATGTCTTCGTTCAGCACGTTATCGTCAGGACGACAGGGAAAGTCCGATCAGTTGATTGGGCCTTGAACCCCGGGGTAAAGGATCTACAACTACTTGTTGGAGGGACAAACAACTTACTCGAGCTTTATAACATTGTCGGGAAGGAAAGGCTAAAGTCTAAGGGTGAAGAGCCCGACTACAACAAGGCGCTGGCCGTCGAGCTCCCGGGTCACCGGACTGATATTCGGTCTGTAGCCATCAGCTCCGATGACAAGATGTTGGCATCAGCAGCGAATGGCTCGCTAAAAATCTGGAATATCAAGACGCAGCAGTGTATCCGCACCTTTGACTGCGGTTACGCGCTCTGCTGTGCCTTCCTTCCCGGCGACAAAGTAGTGATCGTAGGCACGAAGGAGGGTGAACTACAACTCTACGATGTTGCCTCAGCATCACTGCTGGAGACGGTCAATGCACATGACGGGCATGCTGTCTGGGCCCTGCAGGTGCACCCTGATGGCAGATCAGTGGTGTCTGGCGGTGCTGACAAGACGGCCAAGTTCTGGGACTTCAAGATTGTCCAGGAGCCGGTGTTGGGCACGACACGCACAACGCACAGGCTCAAGCTGGTGCAGTCCAGGATACTCAAGGTTTCGGACGACATTTTGAGCTTGCGCTTCTCGCCTGACGCGAGGCTCCTGGCCGTCGCGCTTCTCGATAGCACCGTCAAGGTTTTCTTCAACGACACGCTGAAGCTGTATCTCAATCTCTATGGTCACAAGCTACCCGTGCTGAGCATGGATATCTCCTATGACAGCAAGCTCATCGTGACAAGCTCTGCCGACAAGAACATCAGGATATGGGGTCTCGACTTTGGTGACTGCCACAAGGCGCTCTTCGGCCACCAAGACAGTATTCTGCAGGTGGCCTTTATCCCGCATAATTCGGACGGCAACGGCCACTACTTCTTCAGCGCCAGTAAGGACCGCACCATCAAGTACTGGGATGCCGACAAGTTCGAGCAAATCCAGCGCATCGACGGCCACCACGGCGAGATCTGGGCACTCGCGGTCAGCCACAGCGGCCGCTTTCTGGTTAGCGCCAGCCACGACAAGTCGATCCGCGTGTGGGAGGAGACCGACGAGCAAATCTTTCTCGAGGAAGAGCGCGAGAAGGAGCTTGAAGAACTCTACGAGCAGACACTCACAACCTCTCTTGAGCAAGACCCAGACGAGCAGGACGCCAACCGCGAGATTGCCGCAGCCACCAAGCAGACGGTCGAAACGCTGATGGCCGGCGAGCGCATCGCCGAGGCGCTCGAGCTGGGAATGACTGATCTCAACACTATCCGCGAGTGGGAAGAGGCACGCCAGATCAACCCTAACATTGCGCCGCCGCAACGCAACCCCATCTTCGTCGCGCTCGGCAACATCCCTGCTGAGACGTACGTATTGAACACGCTGCAGAAGATCAAGCCAGCGTCGCTGCACGACGCGCTGCTCGTCCTGCCCTTCTCAACCATCCCCTCGCTGCTGACGTTCCTGAATCTGTTTGCGCAACGCGAACTCAACGTGCCACTGACCTGCCGCATTCTGTTCTTTGTGCTCAAGACGCACCATAAGCAAATTGTCGCTAGTCGAACGATGCGCGCCACGCTGGAGAAGGTGCGAGCTAATCTGAGGGCGGCACTGCGCCGGCAGAAGGATGAGATGGGCTTCAATATCGCGGCACTCAAGGTTGTCAGTATGCAGCTGAGAGATAAGAGTGTCAGGGAGTATGTGGATGAGACGTGGGAGGAGAAGGAAAAGGAAAAAGGGGTGAGGAAGAGGGCTTTCGCGAGCTTGTCATAGGGGCTGTAGTACTAAGAGGACTAAGCGTTATCATGATCTGAACTTGGTTTGATACCTGCCTTACCCTGTTGCTGGTGTTTTGGGGGTTTGTGGTTGGTGTTAGAAAAGGAAGAATCAATGCTACAACTTAGATCTAGAATTGAATCTGTTGAGTCCATACCAACGAAATCTTCACCTGCAGGGGGTGTTGTGTCTTGAAGCCTGCACTGGAAGCTTGTTTTTAGGGGCAACGGGACCCGACCCTGTCTGCGGGAGGGAAACCTAACCCTACCCTTGAAGGGAGTATATAAGCCCTCCAACCAAATATTATTCAGGCTGTAAGATCCTCAACATATTTATTACTTCAAGTCGCTCTTGATATCCATTGCTTTCTACCATTATATGACCTGTTTTAAAACATTCCAAGATCTGCCTCTATCCCATGTTGTTGTCATTCGGCTCACTATGCCAAAATCACTATATGCTATGCATGCCAAAAGGGTATCTCACCCGAACACCTGCTCAACATGCAACTTGAATAACGCCAATAATGCTTCGAACCCATCATGCTAATTCCTGATTATAACACCGAATTGTCACTCCATTACTCCACACTATCCGCCGGACTGCCAGGCTCCGAGCCGAAAACGTCTTCCGCGGCGGTATGCATTTCGTCCTCATTCTCGGTCACATTCGCTTGCTGCACCCCTCCGCCAAACTTCTCCGTAGGCGTTTGGACCGCCGCCGCCGCCGCCGTCGTCACAGGGGATGCCTCAGAAGGTGACGAGGACGACATGGACGAGGGAAGTGCCACCGTGGTGTCGGCCTGAAGCTGCAGTTGGGCATTATTACTCGCGTCTACAATCGTTGCTGGTTGTGCTACCGCGCCTGAAACAGAAGGAGCTGTTGTTGTTGCTATCTGCTCTTGCTGTGTTTGGTTGGGAGCTGATGGACCAGGAGCAGGGAAAGTAGTAGCACTAATGTGAGTCTGAGATTGAGCATGTTTCTCTTGCTGCTGCGGCAGATGAGCCAATGGAGACACCTGCTGCTGCTGCTGGGGTGGCTGTTGTTGTTGTAGTCTCTGTTGCAGATGCTGCTGCTCTTGATGCACCTGACGCGTCTCATTCACAACAACAAGCGGAGCAGCACATCCCTGAGGGGCTTGAAGATGGCCAGTTTGGCCTGATGGCGTTGCAGATCTGGGGGGTGGGTAAAAATCTGCAGGCCATGGTGTTGCTAGCGCTGTTGATGGTTGCGGTGAAAGTGCCTGGGCATAAGGTCCAGCCGGATGAGGATGTGGCATGCTCGGCTGCATTCCCGGTGCAGCAGAGTGTGGATGCGGGCTAGGACCAGGTTGAGTCGTTGCCACAGGTGGAGTTGGTCCTTGATCTGGACCTGCTGGGTGTGCGCCTGCTGCTGGCAGATGATAGGCTGGGTGAACTTGGTAGTTCGCGTGCTGGTGAGGTGGCTGACTGGCTGGGTTAGGTGTTGAACGAGCTAGATGCCCCTGATGAGGAGGGGGAGGGGCATGCCCAGCTGGCCCGGCATAAGCAGCGGGGTCCGCAGCTGGAGGGGCATAATGTGGAGGATGGCCGATTGCCGAGACAGAAGCTTGCTGTTGAGGGGGATGTGGCCCCGAATTGAGAGGATTAGGGTGCTGTTGTTGCCCCATAATCGATCCCGGAGCGTGCGGGCTTGGTGGTGCTGCTCCGTGAGGATGTTGATGAAAGTGAAAATGAGTCGGCTGTTGAGCTGGAGCATATGGAGGATCAGGCACTCCGTATAGAGCTTGAGGTTGAGCACATGGACATGGGAGCGGAGGGGGAACCCCGGTCGGAACCGGAGGAGGACTAGGATAGACGGAGAGGTAGCTCAGGGGAGGAACGTTCAATGGTTGACCGGCGTAAACAACAGGGAGCACCGCGCCGGGAGGTAAAGGATAGTGACCAGGCAGTGGGCCTGGCGGTGGTCCCGTATAGACAACAACATAGTTGGCTGTGTTGCTTTCTGGGGGTATGTGCGGTGGGGGAAGATGTTGAGGAGGGACATAGGCAGCTGGTTGCTGGCTAGGCCGTGGTGCCGGCGATGCTGACGCGGCTGGCGGTCTAGTGGACCCGGCAGAACCAGCAGCCCCTTGCTTAGACGGCCGTGTCGTTCGCTGCTGCTGATGTTGACGTTGCTGAGCGGACTGAGGGACAAGGGCAGGGGTCGGACAGGGGCCAACCGGAGCTGACGTCGACCGGGCCGAAGTTGGACTCGGGTCCGCAGGTGAAGGTCGAAGACCGGGACCGGGCTGCTGCTCAGTGACACTCGGAGCCGGTTGGATTCCGGGTTGGGCTCTCTGTTGTTGAACCTGGCTCCTGGTTGGGCCGCTGGCTGGGTCACGGATGGTGCCACTGGCTGAGTTGGCACAGCAGCCTGCGAATGGGACTGCGCTGGGTTGTCAGCAGGTAGCGAAGCGGAGCCTGCTGGTGCTGGTACGGTCTCGGGGGCCCTTGGGCTTGGCGTCGGAGCCGAACCCGAGGGAGCGGGGGGTCTTGGCGCGGGCGTGGGAGCAGATGGTCCGGTCGGGCCTGGGTTGTTGGCCGGCGCGGACCCAGATCCGGGAGCCGACGCCGACGTGGCCGACGACGTGGACGCTGGCGATGGTCTATTTGGCTGATGATCGTGTCCAGCGTTCTTGGATGCCGTGCCTGCTACTGATGGAGTCGCCGGAGCGGGCAGTGGAGGTCGAGGTCGAGGAGAGGAGCGCGGGGGAACAGGTAGGGGGTCGGGACACTTGGGCAGTTCGATACCGGTGCCCTCGAGCAGCTTCTTGCGCGACTCCCACCAGCCACAGATGGTGGGCATAGGAATCTTCCAAAAGGCCGACGCCTCGGCGTAGGTGGGCGGGCGATACCACACCCACTCGCCGTCTTCGGTCTGCACCAAGTCTTTGTTGCGATCAAAGCCATGAGGCTGGCCTAGGCGCGCGCGCGGCACATGCTTGAGATCGCGCTTGTCGGGCACGCGGTGGTTGAGCAGGTACATCAGCACTTCGATCTTGCGCTCGCGCGTGTAGGTGCGCTCGACGCGCTTGATCTCCTTCAGCGGCTTGGGCTGTGGGCCGGACTTCTTGCGCGGCAGCCCCGTTGCCGACAGCAGCTGAGCCGACGCTGGCGGCGTCGGGGCCATCGTGTACTGGATCGCGTCTTGTCGCAACTGCGATCCGTACGCTGCTGTCGACGTCGAGCTGGGACCCAACAAAGATCGGCGGGCCGTTGCGTTACGGTGATGGAATACGTTGTAAATATATTGTATAACTCTGCAGTTCCGTACAGTACTGATACGAAGTTAGGCCAGCGGCTAGCACCAAGCCGCACGCAATGATGTAACAGTTGTAAGATACAATCATGCCAAGACAGCGAGGTTTTGGGCTGGACCCACAAATTATCATCTCACTTCCATTCTCCATCCAATTCTTTGGTCAGAATTCAGTCGTTCAGTCGTTGGGATGAAAACATTCAAGATTGATCAATAAAACAGCAAAACTCCAACTTCAAAAGGTGAGACAAAACGAAATCCCCGGGTTGCTGTGTTAACTCTGCCAAGTCCCGCAAAACGAAGGGGATAAAAAAATCAGATGCCCAGTAACAGGATTGAACTGTTGACCTTCGCATACCATATACAGGTATGAACCAGTATTAGTACGACGCTCTAACCAGCTGAGCTAACCGGGCTTGCTGATTCACGGGTGAAAGTCCTGCTACCTTCCTTTCCATGCTTGGAAGATCGGCGGAAACTCAATCGCACAAGTGCACCTTAACTTCCATCAATTTCCAACGTGCTTGCCCTTTAATCTGAGACTTACTCCGCTGAAGAAAATCTCCGGTTCAATGGTTCTCCGATTCTGCATCCATTTTTGAATCGATCTTCCAGGCCTCTCTCATCCATTATCTTCCTCAACCCGGGCGCTTAGGGACTCAGCCTGTCAGCCGCGCGAGACGGGCGGGGAGCTATACTGTGTAGCCCACTAGCGCTTGTGCCCTTTGCCTGGGCCCGGGCCCTGGCTGCCTGTCCCGCCGACACTGCCTCACTGCTCCAGAGGCCAACGGCCACTCAGCCGACTCCCAATCTCCCACTCTCGATGCCGCGCCGCGAACGCGCTGGCCTGACCCCTTCAAATGGACTGGATTGCGGCGGAACCCTCGGACATGTTCATAGCCTATTTCACCATCGACTGCCCTCCTCCCGGGTAATCTCCTAATACTAATACATAGCATCATATTTTTTTCTAGATCTTAATATTCCACATTGCTGTTTGTTGCGCGCGCGGGAACAAGTTGGCGCCGTGACTAGTGAGTTCGTGCAAAAAACTCCCCAGCATCCTTCTACCGAACCATTCCAGCCCCAGTTTTCAATTCTCCCCTGCCGAGTGCGTAATCTTCTCATAAACTCGGTTCACCTAGCACACCTACTGCATACAGGCTCGAGGCTCGGCCGTACAATATAACATCAGCAAGCACCATGGGCCTCCGCGACAAACTCCGCAAAAAGGCCGACGATGAGCCCGCCCCAGCCGTTCAGAGCCGTCCAGCACCCGAGGTCACTTTCATCCGCTCTGACACATTCACACAAGAGATCATCGAACCCCCGAGCGCCGGCGGCTACAGCCAGCAGGACTCCTCCTGCCTAAGCCCCAACTCCAAGCCAGACTCGGGCAGCAAACCCCGCCGCAGCTTCGATGTCTTCCGAAGTAGCCGAAGCCGCAGCAGCAGCGTCTCGGACTCCAGCCATAGCCATCGGAGCAGCAGCGCCGGCGCCCCCAGGAAGCGCTTGTCGCAGCGCCTGGGTCTGAAGCGCTCTCCCTCTACCTCGGAGAACCTGCCGCCGGACCTGCCCGAGATCGTCGTGCCAGAGGGCGCCGAACACGACAAGGAGACGGCCGAGTCGCAGTGGGAGCAGCGCGCGACTATCCTGGCCCTCGAGAATGATAAGCGCCGGAGCAGTCCTGGAACACCAGTTCACGGCGCCGCCCCTCCAATCCTGCCGCAGCTCCGGCTCGACGGCGAGGCCTCCGCGCATGAAATTCCCGGAACAAAGACCAAGGCTGTCTCGTCCAAGGAGATTGACGAGGATATCCAGGAGGCGATCCGGCTCCATGAAGCGGGAAAGTTGGAGGAGTCCACGGCTTTGTTCGCTCGGCTAGCCGATCCGAAGGGAGCAAACAACCCCCTGAGTCAGGTCCTCTATGGGCTGGCGTTGAGGTACGCGATTATCACATGCTGAGTCATCATATTCACCATCAGCGCCAGCACTGCCAGATCCCTCGATCACGACCCGGTCTAGATGCGTCGTTTCAAATTGTAGAAGACGCATTTGTATGGACCTCACACAAGCCACGCAAACCATGCAATTGTCCAATAATGGCAGGCATTATGCACACGGAACTAGTACTAACTAGAGCTTTCCCAGGCACGGTTGGGGATGCAAACCCGACGCGGAGAAGGCCGTGAGCTTCCTCTCGGCCGCTGCATCCAATGCCGCCGAGATCGAGCAGATGGCCCTGGCAGCCGGTTTGAAGAGAGGAGGAGCAGCGAAAGGCGAGCTAGTCCTGGCTATCTTCGAATTGGCTAATTGCTTCCGGCATGGCTGGGGCGTTCCCAAAGATCCGATTGCTGCCAAACAGGTGGGTTCAAACCACTTCGCACCTCTTGCGATCCTCTTGCCCGGGACTGGCATATGTCAGGAGCTATTGCAGATTTCTAACCTCTGAATGTTACAGTATTACGAGACGGCGGCAAATCTCGGAGACACTGGTATGCGCTGCGAGCTTCCTTCTATCCTCTGCTCCCTGCCTATCTCCGCCTTCGTTTTCGTTTTCCTTACTAACGGCTGTACGCTGCTGTAGATGCCATGAACGAGGTGGCATGGTGTTATCTCGAGGGCTTCGGTACCAAAAAGGACAAGGTGAGTTTCAGCAATCCGCCAGTCACTCTCCATATATGTCTACTTGTATCCTTCAGAAACACACGCCGGAGTCATTGCTTTCCGGCACCGGGTCAATCGGCGAGCCAGCCGCCCAGCCATGTGATTTCACGAGTGCTCTTTGGCCAGTTGTCCGCCGTGTGCGGGATCCGGGCCGTTGGGCATCAACTGGGTCAATGGAAAAACAGGACGCTGTAACTGGCGACCCACACTAGGACTTGCATCAACATGGCTTCAAATTTTTCCGATTTCGCAGTTCTCTATATCGTATTGACAGCGGGCTGACAGTTAGGAATGACTGCAGTATCAAGCTGCGAAGTATTATCGCATGGCTGAGAAGGCCGGAAACAAGATCGTCGGAAATTCTTGGTAAGTCCCTATCTCTTGTTCTTGTTCAAGTTCTCTCCCTTCTCTTGTGGATTCTTGGGTGCTTGGCTAGGCCGACCAAGTGACCGTGGCTCCATCATGAACTGCACCTCACCTGGCACCGGGCATGCATTACAGGGGAAAACCACTTGAGCGTGCATATTTTGTTTTCCCTGCTCTCTTCTCATGATAGGCTGATTAGTGCTTCGCCCTATTTTTTTTCCCCCTCTGTCTCGAATGTTGTGCTGGTTTGTTTACACTCCCTGTCCTACTGCCCCGCCCCTTCTTACTGCTTCCTTACTTCTTTTGGCCTTGCCCTCGCCAACCCACAAACCACAGATTCTGCAAAACTTGCCGAGGTTTTGTTTATACTCTGCCCGGGCGTTTACATCTCTTCTTTTCCCTTAATCAGCCGTGGCATATGTTGTCATGACATCGGACCACCTTTGGCTGTCACCCCCTCCCCCGATTGGATTACCATGGGCTTAACTTCCAGATATGCTTGTTTTGATGCACGTGTCATGACATTTTGACCTCGACTGGTTGGATCGCACATATTTTTTTGTCTGTTTGTTTGTTTGTTGCTATTTTTTGCCAGTCTTTTTTTGGCCATGTTGCTGATCAGCCTTGTTTCCCCGTGTACTCTCGAGTAGGATCTGGAAGGAGAAGTACGATCCTCCGAACAGCAAGAGCGGCAAAAAGTGAATGTGGATCTCTTGAGCGTTATTTTTTGCTTTTTTTTTCATGACCTGGATAGACTCGATTTGAGGGCTCAGATCTTGGACACGATCTTGATTACTTGATGATTTTTAAAGTATGACCGTTACTCTTGGGCTCAAAGCATTGATACCGCAATGGCGCTGGTGGTTGTCTTGTATATCAGACGTGATATTTAGTTCGGACGGCTTCAGGAGAGTATACCTAGGTAAAGGTATCGATGTCTCCAATTGGACTAATGGACTTCTATGTCAATGCCATATCTTCGCGTCGGGTACCCGAATACTACTCCCAGCCTCTTGAATTTCAGATGAAAGAGTTGGGCAGCTTTGCCACTGTGGTTCCTGATTATCCACATATGAGATCCTGTCTGTTTGGTTTTCATCTTGCAGATTTGTTTACGTCCCTGCAGATGCTTCTGCCGGTCATGGGTTAGGTGTTTTGCCCCCTTTTGATGGCCATGGCATTGTTTACGTGAAGGCCGCTTCTGATAGGTCTAATCGACTGTCGAGCATCTGCTTTTGACTGGTAAATTCGATCATGAACACGACACTTCGCTGATCTAGTGGGACTCGAGGAAATTGTCATGATCCATTGGGCATTGGGCTCTGAGCCGATGGGGTGATGGGGGTCAGGGAACCGGTCCGCGGATGTTGCGATGCCATGCCGTCTGCTGTGTCCCTGTGTCATTGCATGTACATCTTGCATCGCAGTAGTATGTGGGTTGTACGATGGGTGTCGGTCGAGGAGAAGAGGAGGATAGTAAGAGAGCATGGGGTTTGGATATTCTGTAGGATGTACACCGGGGTTGAAGATAGGTATCGTCAGGTCTTTTGCAGGACAGCTCCGTTATCCTACCGTTAATTTGGGGTGAAACGGAGAAAGGTGAATTTACGGCTTTTGTGCACCCCCATTACGACCTCTCGGCTATCTACTTCTTTTCTTTAGTTTTTTGCTCTGATAATTCTCTCTCTTACTATTTGGTATTCTATCTCCTCTCACCCGTACTCTATCCTTTGATATCCGTTCTTGAGCTGTCCGTGTATCGTCAAAAACTGGACGTTCATTCACGTGAAGTTGTCCCTAGCTTTCCCCTTCACAGACTTTTCTGACATCACCTATACGACCACTGTGTCTCAGAGAAATTATGTCCTATTACCAAGATAGGAAGGGAAAACTCTCCAGAAAGTAAACTGTCCATGATCTCGACAACTCTTCCTTCTTCCTCCTTGCCCTTGTGTCCTCTACGACTGCCACCCAAAGCGTTGCTCAGCCTCGGTATCCGTCAACCCGAAGTGGCACATATCGACTGTTTCCTGTTACACAGAGCAGAGGTTGCGATCTTGTTGTTTCACGAGGTATCATCAGGTAGTTCAAGCAGTCTTGTTGGGTTCTTCTTTGGGCTTTTTTTTGAGCCCAATTCTTCTATCTCTTGTGGGTATTGTTTGGTAAACATGAGGATTCGGAGATGTCTTAGTTGGGTATTGGCTAAGTGCTCGTTGAGATGATCTATCTATTACGCTCACGGAATGCTTTTGCAGTGGTTCAATTTGAAGCCGTCTGGAACTTCTGTTAGCAATGATAGGTGTTTCAGATGACTCGAGCTACCTGTGCCAGACCATCGTGGTCAGTCCCAGAGGCCTCTTCTTGTTGAATTAGGCTTTAAGTGGATTGTGTATGCCGTTGTGGAACAACGGCAGGCTTTGTCAAAGCTCTGGCGTAAGGCAAAATAGCAGCGGATGTCTCTACAGACTCAACAAATATCCAGTAGTGTTCCATACTTTTCAAGAAAGACTAAAGCTCCTCGGCTGTTTGCTTCGGAATGCTCCCAGGCTCACGTCTTACAACAGGGGGGTGGTTTCATGCGTGCGACCGGCGAATATATCAGGAACACAAATGTCAATGTCCCTGTTGCTCTTTGTTGCTCGGGCCAGAATCAACGGGGCAAGGCTAGCCCGAGGTTTGTGTCTGATGGTGGTGGAAGTCAGCGAAGGGGGCAACAATCAGGCAGCAGGCGGGAAAGCGACACACGGGATCGTCGAGATATGGTTCGTAAATCCGTGTCGGAGGTGTGCTGTATCTGAGTCACGACAATCTAGACTCGTTTCCTTGCTTCCAGAAGTGTTTGAAGGCGGGTGTCATCAAGCAGTGAAGATTTGAGTTCTCATATTTTATCTTTTTGTTGACAATCCGGTGACCCTTAGGAGAGTCCTTGTAGTATGAGGTTTGGTGTAACCATGTCAACTACCAAGGCGACCAATCACTGACGATCTTGCCGCTTGTTTGAGCCTTAACGTCTTTGGCAAAATCCATGGATGCCCGACTGTCTGCTACGCATTCCTGCACTTTTGGAGAAACTCAACACAACTGGCTGCTTGGACTTGTCCAAGTCCAAGCAGGTGAGCCTCCGGGGCGCTGCAAATCGCTCACCGGTCTTTCTCCTGTTTAATATTTCCGCTCTCTTAACCACTTGAAGTGTTAAGTTATGGAAGCGCCACCAAGTAGCACACACCGCTGAGAATTGGCGTATTGGTCTGTAAAACAATGAAGACTGTGTGGCAGAGAACTCGCTGCTCCCTATTACGTTTCATGTCTTCTGTTCATCCACTGCGTACCTTATTCAATTCCCGCGTGGTTAGTCCCTTCGAGCCACTGATTCAGCTCGACCTCGAGTTCGTAGTCCTCATCTAGCATAATATTCGGGCCAAAAGCTTTAGATATGGGAATTAGTGATGCTGTGTGCTTGAAAGAGTTGGTTAAGGAAATAGGTCTTATCTTAAGAGTTAGATATTCTAAAAACCAATTGGCGACCATAACCGTTGATAGCAGGCCGTTATGCTATGTACCTGTCTCGTTGTGGCCGGTATCTACGTATCCAAGTGACAGGTCTTTGAACCAACAAGACCGAATAGGCAACTAGTAAAGTCGTCTTCCAGACCTACCGTTAACGTCCTATCTATCAAGTATTCATAATCCTAGGCAGGATTCAATGCTGTACCTATCTAGGTATTCATTGCAATGTCTCAGAAACATGGGGAGCATCCAGCTGCACCACATTAACCGGTCAGAGGCAGTGAACAATAAGCAACTCTCCTTATCTCAAGTTGGTAGCTGTTAGCCCACCCACAATTCACTAGCGCAAAGCCTTCCTCCTCGTGATGATCTCATCCATGCATACCGGTCTACCTCTCAACTCTTCGCCCCCATGATCATCCTTCCAAGCTTATCCCAAACAGGGAGAAAGTGAGGGGCAGGACAGAAGTCAGCCCAAACCCCGAAGCCGACCAACCATGACGCAGTTCGTCACGGCAGTTACATCATTGGAGTGATTCACGTGGGGGAGGGGCAGAAAATGGCCCCGATGTTTGACACGTTGTCCGCCCACCCATCCCAACCCATCTATTGACAAATCATCGCCAAGCTTGCCCTCTCTTGTTGGTCACTTTCACCTCGCCTCGTTCTCCGGAATCTTCGGCGCGTGGGCGAAGCGGCCAGTCAGCAATGAATCCGGCCAGCCGGTCAGCCAGTGTCTAAGTCGGCAGGCAAAAGCAGTCAGTCAGTCATCTGCATCCCCATGCGAGTGAAAGTTTGGTGGGAGGCTCGGGGAAGACCCTCCCCCGCACTCTCTTCGGACTTACAGGACCTGTCAGCTTTCGTCGATGTGCTATGCTTCCACGCATATCTGAGGCAAATGTGCAAAATACCCTGTCGACATGCATGAGATGGCATGGCCACCTGCAGTTGCAGTGCCGATGCAGTTGCAGATAGGCACGCTTGTGGCGGCGGACATGGAGTGGGGGCAGATGTTCCCGGGGAAGATCCGGGGAAGCCGGTAAATCCACGCAATTAATGATCTCAACTCAGCGCACGAATCAGGGGAGCATCATAGGCACCGAGCTTTTGAGGAGCTATCCAAAAAATTTTTGTTTTCAATTTCATCCAAGAAAGCTATCATCATATCCATCATGTCAAGGTTCTTTGCTGTCTAGCCAAGCTACAAGATCGTCAGGTGTGTCCAATGTACATGATTGTTGGCTGTCTAGGAACATCCAAGTTCCAAAAAAGATGCGCCGAGTAGACGAGTCAAACAAGTTGGGTACTTCCTTCAGCGAAGGACGGTGGGGCCTATCACCGAAATCGCTCTCCGCGGCGGCGATTCGCGTGTGCCTCATCGATATCTTCGCATTCGGGAAGTTCGTTTACCATCTGTCATGGTGGCTTCTCAATCCCCGTTTCTGTTACAGGGAAAGGGAGCCCCGTATCGAAGACAAAAGAGTGTCGGAGGTCGGTCGTCGTAAGAGAAACAAAAAAAAAAACGGAAAACACGTCGTAGAGACTGTGGTGATGCGTGTTGTTGTTTCGACAATGGTGTGCCGTCGCTAACTGGTCTCCGTGGTGCCGGGCGCTTCCTCCCCGCCGGGATCGCAGTGTTGCAATGACCGCTGAGTTTTAAAAAATAACCCCCATTCCAAAGCCGATGCCTGTCTGACTGGGTCTGGTCACTGTGGCTGTATGAGGGATCTTTCACCTCTCGTCAACACACTTGGACTCTGCCTGTCAGGCTAGACATCAGAAGTGGAGGGAGAGCAGAGGCGATGCCCAAATCGCCTGCAGAGAAAGAGGAATTCAAACCGTCATCAATAGATCCATACCGCCGAACCGAATTCCCAATCAACCGATTCGCCACATGTCCGACAGGCGACCCCGTAGCAAGGCTTTGCGCAGAACCCATTCCCATTCCCAGCGCCAAGCGAACCCAATAAAGACATTAGAGATGTGCCGCCAGAGAAAAAAACAGACCATCCAAACAGGAAACCGAGATAACACGAATGCAAAGCCCAAAGACCCAAAAGCAAACTCTCATGACGAAAATCACTGCAAAAAAGGAAAACCTGTCTCCCGGGTCTGACAGGTGTCACCGAAGAAACGAAAATCAAATGAAGTGCGTGAGCTGCAATGTCTGTCGTTGCGAGGTGATCATGTCGCGGGAGCAGTAAAGTAGACCGTCGCATCCAAAACCACCGAAGTTGAATAGAAAAAGCCGAAAAGACGGAAGAATTGCTTGCTCCCGATATCATGAGTACTGTTCATGCCTCATCAAGTGTTATCATGACCGAGCTGTGTAATCCAAGATCATTCACCGAGGGTAACAGAAAGGAGTCGCTAAAGAGGGGAATGCAGTAGTCGTCGTGGTCGCTGCGGCAGTCGTAGTAAGCCGTGGTTTTAAAAAAAAGGTCACAGAGCTAAAAAAGAAGCTGCTGAAGTCCCTGATCATGACTGGTGTTCCTCGCCTTCGTTGGTAGCGGCATTGTTACTCTCCGCTACCATCTTGGCAAAGGCCCGAACGACGTCACGCGGGATCTGATCCCAGAGCAGCGAACGAGTGTAGACCTCGGCAGCAGATTCCTTGTTGGGCGGGGCACGCATGCTGGCCAGAGCCTCAGCAAGATTGCGTCTGCGCTGGCTCGTGGACCTTTCGGCCGCTTGAGCGTTAGGCAGGAAATCTTGGGAGGTCAGGTCATTGTACTGCTCAGCCGACAAGGAGAAGATCTGCTCGTTGGTCTGTTGCTCGCTCGGTCTCGTAAGGGAGTCTGCCAGCTCGCCAAGCGTCGATGGAGGAACGCGGTTGTCCACCATCGGCGAGGCGATGGGCATGTTTGATCCCGAGGACTGGGTCCAGCCGCCATTGGCAGTGCTGGAGCCCGACGGCTGCGGTGCCATGGCCTCGATGCCCGAGGAGCCGACCTGCGAAACGCCAGCATCCTTGAGGACGTTCTCCAGGAGGGTCGCGGACGCAGCGCGGACGTCCTCGGAGACACGCGGGATGCTGGGCGTCGACCGCCTCGAGAGGACAAAAGCGCCCACAAGGAAGAGCATGAAAAGCAGCCCACCTTGAGGAGCAGATTTCTCGGAGACGGTTGGCAGGGGAACCTCGGGCTTCTTGACGGGCACAATCTGCATCTCCTGGTTAGCATCGGCAGGCTGCTGCTCCATGGAGAAGTCGCCAAACATAGGCGTGTTCTCCCATGGGCCATCCACGTTGATGCCGTCCATCTGGTCAAAAGCACCGGTGTAACCGGACGCGTGCTGGGCGGCACCTTCGAGGCGCTGCACGGTGCTGGTCAGGACGCTGATCTTCTTCCGCAGTTCGCCTGTCTCAAGGGTGTGCCTGCTGATCATGTCCTCCTGCTTCTTCTCCAACTCATGTATGTACGACTCGGCCTGCTGCTTCTCCATCGACAGTTTCTGAATCTCACCCTCCAGTTTGCGAATCGTCTCCTCCATGTTGGCGACAATCTCGGTGTAGCGTTTCTTCTCCTCCTCGAGACGCTCAGTATGCAGCTTCTTGCGCTGCCGGGAATCGAGTCTGCATCGTTGTGTCAGTCACTCTAGTGTAACACGCATACTGTTGTTAGATTGGGGTTGAACTCACGCAGCCTGTCTATTGCGAAGCAAGCGCTTCTGTTGCTTCAACTCCTTGATTTCCTGCTCATCAGTGGACTGAGCAATCAACATGTCGATGTTGCTCAGGTTGCGATCTGGGGGGATCTCGAAGCGCGCGTTCTTCTTGCGGATGCCGTCACCCCTCCGGAGCTCGTTATGAGAGCGGATCAGGGGGCTGGGCGGACGAGAACGCTTCGCCATAGCCTGAGCCTTGAGATCCTGTGCCATCTGGGTAGCGGGAATTGGCTGAGGAGCGGGCTGTCCCAGCTGCTGGAACATGGGGACAGGAGTCGGGTTGGTGAAAGGACTCGGCGCAACTGGCATCGGCCGGAACATGTCCATGCCGTTCGAGCTGAATTCGACGGGGAGACCGTCGAAGGCAGGCAGCTGAGGAGTGGCAGTAGCCGAGGTGGTCATGCTCCAGACGTGGTTCTGGTAGGCTGGCTGCTGGTTCTGATCCATCCGCAGGAATGGGTTATTGCTCTGCGGAGCAGGCGCAGGCTGGGGTTCGAAGAAAGGATTGTTCGACGGCAGCGACTGCATCTCGACTGACTGCCAGTCCTCGGTCTTGGGCGAGAAGATGGAAGGGGATACGCCGAATGAATCCCTCCTGCTGTCTGCCATCGCGGGGGACATCTCAAGGCCGGAGTCGATCCCACTCTGGTCGAGGATGTTGTCGTCCAGGATGTTCTGGTCGTCCTCCTCGAAGAAGTTCTTGGCTTGGGCACGCGCGGTGTCGACGGTTAATTGTGTTGGGTAGAACCCAGACATGAATGCTGAGACCATAGTGCCGGTTGTTGTGTTTCCGTGATGTGGATATATCAATCTGTGCCGGAAGTAACGCTGTGAACGTCAACAAGTGGTGCTGACGCAATTCTAAGAAGCCAGGCGTGTTAGTGATTGAGCGGTGAGGGCCTTTAATTCCTAGGCAGCACCCGAAGTGAGGGGGGAGCGTTTTGGGAGGGGCTAGAGAACAGGGGGGGGGGCTTTTTATAGTGGGGAGGGGGAAAGGAGGTAGTACAGCTGCCGGGAAGCCTCAAGGAAGCCGTACCCTTCAAACTTCCTGAAACTTGTGTGATGGAATTTTGATTGTGACGTGTTGAAGATAGGAGCCTGGGGGGGAATGAGACAATGCTCAATAAGAAAGATGAAGGTCAAATGAGGTCTTCGTTGCTCATAAAGATGGGCGATGCGAGACGGAAGATGGGAGATGGGAGACAAGCGTGGGTAGCGGATCTGTGAGCGAGCCGGCCGTGGGGGATGTGGGAGGGGAAGCGAAGGTCGGGGCTGAGGGTTTTAAGGGCCGGAGGATTGACGGCTCCGGGCAGGCAAGATAGGATGAGGTCACTTACACTACCAAGGTCGCACAGAGCGGCCGTCCTTTGGAAAGAGGGGCAGAGGGAGGGGCAAGCCAAAGGGCAGCTTCAACAACGCAATGTGAAGCGGCTCTTTGAGGAATATATCAATATTAGGACGAAGGTCAGGTTCAGACTTTTTCTCTGACCCAGCAGTCACAAGCTGCTTTTCAAAGCAATCCGTTGCAATGGGTTTGTGGTCGGTGTTGGGTGAGGGGACTGCGCAGCAGGTGGGTGCGCTCGGCAGCTTCTTATGAGATCAGGGCTCTCTGGTTTTATTCATGAGACTCGCCCAGACTCCAGACTAGCACCGAGGGGGATGGTACGTACTGGCTCAGCAATCACGCTTCACACCATGGTACATTCTGAGCGCATGTCGCGCTAGGCGTGCTTGGGACTTGGAACTCTGTGCCCAGGAGGTGTGATGCTCCCTAAGAGAAGAGAGGAGGGGTCTACCATCGTGCCAGCCAGGGGGGTGTGGAGAGTGAGATAGGCTTGGCTTTAAGCGTCTGGGACTAGGGCGTGAAGCTCCCGTTGCCAAGCGGACGCTTCCGATCTGACGGAGCAGACGACCAGGACCCTGGTCCTTCCAGGGTCCAAGGCTTCAAGTCCCAAAAAAACATGTTCCCAGAAGGGAAAACCAGGTGAGCGAGTAGCGACCTACGCGGCGAAACAGACGCCGCGGCTGTTTACACAGGTACGGATGTATGTGCTCTAGGTAAACAGATCGATTCGAAATCCAGCGGCGTCTCGTTGCCAGCACTGCTATGCGTTGCTCGTTAACGGAGGAATGGATGGACCCAGTGATCCAGCTGTGCAGGCTGCATAGCGCAAACGGACCAGCGACTGGGCCCAAACGCTTGCCGAGCAGCAAAGCGTCTACCGCACAGCGTCTGATAGCCTCCGTTATGCAAAGAGACTTCCTGTTACTAAGCCGTAACATCCTGGGGGCAAAGCTCTGCCCGCCTGTCGCTCCGGTCGAACCACCACGGTACGTCCCAAAGGCGTATTTATGGTGAGGCCCGAGAGGCGCTCGTTGGCGAATCAGAGGTATGCCAAGGGCCCCGGGTGAGGGTTTCTTGCTGCCGGTAGGCTCCAGCTGGTGATGGATCGACGGAGGGGAGAGGGTATTGTCCGGGCTGGATCCGATAACGGACAGGCCACAAGAAAAACTTGGGACGTGGACGGTCGAGCCGACGGCTGGGGCACGAGGAATAAGCAGCACGCATACCAACCGGGGGAGGGTATGGCTCGCTGAGAACGAGAAAATCCAGGCCTGGGCTGCTGAACAATCATGACTGGGCTATGCCGAACGACTGGCCGTGGATGAACGCCCAGAGTCCATGGTGCAGCAGTTGGGCACAAATGAATTTCCAGGTTTGGGAGTCATCAATGCCCAACGCCCAGATTCGGCCAGTGATCTCCCGTCAACAGGCAGTAGTGTCCACACGCCATGCAATCGGCCTCCATGCCCTGGGAGAGCCTCGTGAGTAGTCGTTCACGATTCGATCGTCCGCGAGCGCACTCACTAAACTTAGCAGTGCATCCCGGAGGGGAATCATCAACCAGTCCTGGTCAACCTCCGGCCAGATGGGGCAAGCGTTGGCCCATTGGCAGGCCGGCTCACGCGGCCTACACCTACCCTCTCTGGGAATATGCCATCCATGCCATGACGGTGACGGTCAAGGGCTCGGTTGCGAGACGCCGACAGTGCCGAGAATGAAAACCCGTTGTGTCTACTCCTGGTTTAAACGCGGGGCAGAGGGCTGAGGCACGACACTGGTGCCTTTTAACCGTCGGTGATGAGGAACAGTTGAAGGATCTCGGTGTGGTAGTCAAGGACGATGATGACAAGGTATGATGTATGATGGGCTCGAGTAGGCTGCCTGGAAGCTCTCCAGTCCCATTGCTTAGTCAAGGGCTATTAGGTCGATAGAAGGTGAGCATAGCCCCTCTCTTCGTGACTTCGTAGGAAACCTCCTAGCTCATGGAGGGGTTGTGGGTGGCCTGGCCTGGCGACTTGGCCGTCACGGTTTCGTCACCGTCACAGTTACATGAATGCGTTCTTTTCCAAGTGTTGGTAACGACACCGACTAGCTGACGGCTGGCGCACCGTTGAATCAGGGCGCACCGTTTGCGCATGAAGCCAACCGGCGCTGTGTTGCGGGATGCCGTCTTTCGCCGGCCTCAACACCCTGAGCCTAGGATGAACGTTGACTTGCCCCTGTGTCCCATATGCCCCACAGTCACGGAAGCCTCATCAAGGCTGACAGCCCTGGTCACATGACTTGGTTCTAGCGCTCCGTTTTTCCTATGGGTCAGAGCTTCGATCGGTTCGAGAAGCCGACGCTCACCTCCCTTTAACCAGGATCCCTTTCCCCCACAAAGTGTTCACTTCCAGCTTCTGCCATTTGTCTCGTGCACCTCGCCGCATCACCATCGTCGTGTTTTCCACTCGCTCTTATCCCAGCCCATTGTTGTGTGATCGCACGCGGTTCTATTGTTCGCATCGCCCCAGTCCATCAAAAGCGGGTTTGTCAATCGCAACGCAAACAAAAACAAAAACACACAAAAATGCGGTGGCTGGGAGCAGGGAGCGCGTCCTTGGTTCAACCCCACTGGGCACGTCTCTGCATCTCCGTTGGTTGTTAATTGAGCGGCACGTCTGCATGTCTCTGGAGAACGTGCTGACCAGTCGCTGTTGCTGCCCAGACGCGATGTGCTGCTGGCCGCATATTCCGAGGCCTGCGCCAATGTCGACCCAAAACACTCGTCCCTACCCAACCACTCAGTCATCTGTGTTCCCTGTTTCTCCCCTCTCTGACACGCGAAGAGACGCGTCCGCCGAACCTCGAGGCTCGAGCCAGTTGGATGCACGGCCAATACCGCACGTCACGAACTTCCCATACCTATGTAGCATGCGCCAGGGGGCAAGATGCTACCCCACTCCTTCGTGCGTCCGACGTTCTCGCCCTCGATCTGGTCTGCCTGACCTATGGTCAGCTGGCAGGAACCGCAGGCCGATCTTGGAAGAACACCACTGGGCTTGTCTGGAGAACCACACCCAATGATACCAACGACACCTCACCTCGCCTTTCCCGGGCCAGATGCGCTTGGGGCGATGACACTCTAGTCAGCCGGCTGATTGTGTGATCAGCCTGTACATGTACAGGAGAGCGGCGGATTACGACCTAGGGCTAATCTGTATGCTTTCCGGGCATCCCAGATGTTGCTCTTCTTCCACCGCACTACCAGGCGCCATGAAAAGCCGCACCATTAACGGACCACTCCTATCGATTGCGCAAATCGCTTCGATTCTGGCATCGGTTTGCCTGCGAACTTTGAATCCGTCCAACTCCGGATTAGTTGCTAAACGTGCTAGACCACGCCGGTTTTGTGGATCCCCTGTCCCGTTCCTCTGGGACGTCTCGGCCACTGAAAGCTGCGTAAAACTTGGTAGCCCTACCACCAATCATTGCTCTCGCCCATCTCTCAATGGAACATCCAGCACCTATCGATGAGGAACGACATTGATGAGAGGACGAGTTTCTGTTCACAGAAACCCGTTCTCTATGGCAAACCGCGGTCTGCTTCCTGTATCTCTGGCCAAGACCCATTCAACGAATGCGGATGTGATACCGCTGTCCCGACCTTTCGGGAGTATCCTTCCCAACCAGCTCTCAAGTTACAATGCAGCAGCTCAAAACTGCATTAGGGACCGCATTATCGTCTATTCTGCATTTAGACTACTCGTTGGTTCCAGTCCCGGATTCGAATTTACTTGCTCGGCTTCAATAACTTAATGTGAACTACGGAATACTTATGCCGATATCATCTCCATTTCTGTCGTTCGCTTGGTGTCATCGTCGAGTTCCGCTCTCTCTGAACGGGTTTGTTCTGTTAGTATGCATGAGTCTATCAACAGCTTGAATTCCATCAGGCAGACGACTCCCAAGTTATGACCCAAGATCGGATTTTTTCTCGAACAGAACTTTGGCAAATGCATGGCTATCACTGCTACAACACTATCTCCGGCTTCGTTCAAATACTGGCTTTGGGGTCTGACCTTCGTACACGCTACCTGTCGGTGACATTGAGGGGGTGAATTCCCCATTACAGTTCAGATTAAATGATCCTTTTTGTCCTTTCATCCCGGGGCGACATCGAAGTTCATCTTAGGCGAGCAAGCGAATGGCCCAGTTCCGATGCCATCATCTGTCTTTCTACAGTCTGGGCTGATACATTTGACTGTTCCGGCTGATTCCTTAGCCATGGTTGCATTTTTACTCATATGGGGGCTTCATTAACGCCTCTGGAAGACAGACACCTAAATGGCGTATCTGCCTCATTTTCCAGCCTCGGCCTGCGCCCTGTACCTCGGAAGTTTTCTCCGACTCAGACGTGATCTTCCATGCTTTCCAACATAGTTAGAAACGATGAAAGGATCTGCGACATTAAACGTTTGAGCATGTGAGCGGTGAGGGTTCATGACATGTCAGGTTTTACCCGCAAGCTTTAGTGTTTTTTAGAACGAGGCTGTCGTGCATCGGAACGTTTTGTCAAAGTTCCATCGAGCACTCAATGTTCTACTGCGCTCTCAGCTCAGCAGTGAGATCTGAGAGCTGGGTAGTTCAGATTATGGTGCAGTCGATGGTCTCTGTGTGTGGGAAACAGCAATATTCCCGGATTCCACCTCGATCCGGAAATTTGGGACAAGCTTTGCGCTTTTCTGCAGTCTGCAGACAAGCACATGCCATGCTATCGGAGTAGACTTGGACATTATGCTTGTTGCCCTCGTGCTATCTTTGCACGACCGGTAGCCTGCAGCCTCACAACATGCAACGTGCAGAGAAGAACCATGGACGGTATGTAGAACAGAGTACCCAGGGCCCCGTTTGAGAGCCATCCCAGTACCGTCGAGCAACCTGAACGTTCCCCAAGCAGCAGTGCTCGCCCTAACAACCCAAAGCCTGGGTTGGTCTTGATGTTGGTGATCATGTGACAAGGCATAGTTGCTCCTGCATTTGCTGAACCGCCTGGCTGCTGAATCCCGAGTCTTTCGGTTTCGCTGCTGAAGAGCTTATCTTGAGTTCTATCCAGCATATTCAGAGATACCGAGAGACTCTTGAGATCTACATACATCCACACAAGCTACAAGCCACTGATTGTTTCACACACTGATACCTACCAAACTGCGGCAATACCATTTTCACAGACTGCCGTTTGGCCGATCCATGGCGCAAGTCTCTGAATAGCGGTGAAGAAAGTTCGGAACTTGGTGTCGGGCGTTTTTTACCCACCCCTGGAGCCAAGATTCGCCCCGATCGACCCAAACCCTGGTCTCGATCCAAAGATGTTGCGTAGTGGGCTTTGTCTCATGCCTGCTTTACCCTACCCACTAGATCGACGTTGATCCGGTTCCCGATCGTCCGTCCATGGCGCCCCCGTCGATCACGAAGGGAGGGGTCTTGAAGGGGCTTCCTCCTGATATGACTCACCTCCATCCTTCTCTGCTTGTTTGCTACCTTCCATTTGTCCACTTTAACATTGGATGCCGACCCGAAAGATGGCAGCGGCCGGGCCGGATCAGACAATGTCGGTGTCCGCCACCGGCAGGGTGAAAAATACCGAGTAACGTGGAGAGCCTGCTTGTTTGCCCCTTCTACCCTGACCTACGATTTTTTTTTTTCACTCACCGCCCCTCCCCCTCGTTGTCAAACCTTCCCACCAGAGCCCCTAACAGTTGCAGCTATCAGTCACCCCGCGCTGAAATGAACTCCCACATACCCTCGCTCCTCTCATCATACCTGAACCTTACCTAACACGGCCCCGCTCCGAGCCAAGATACCTGTTCGTGCACGTCCCACGCCGGCGCCTTGGTTAGCGTGGGGTCGCTCGTGGGTGGGACCACCACCGTCTTGCCGCCGCGGCGCCGCGACGCCGCCGGGCTCGACGATCAGATACCCGATCGGGTGGTGCTGGGGTGGGGAGATGATGCGAACGGGCATTTTTTGATCCAGATTTCCAGTGTTTAGAACTTGGCTGCCGAGTCGACCGTGCGCAATACAACACAATCACTTGGGCTTCACTGCGGGGGACGGGGGTTGATGAGGGCAAGGGTCTTCGCGGAATGGCTCGTGGGAGGTTTGAGTAAGAAGATAGGAAGGCTGGTCCTCACGTGGTTAAGGTGAGGAGGTAAACATTAGATGCGATGGGACTGCAGGATCAACGTGAGGGGTGTGATTTCAAGTGGGAGCTGCATCCTGTGTGTTGCCACAATAGTACATTAGGTGCGAGTGCCTTAGCCTTTAGGTGCGAGGTAAACCGTAAACTTCCATCAAATTAGTGTTGGAGATGCACGGGTTACCCAGAACAGACAGGCCTCTCCCTCTTGTTGGGAGTTGCAGGATTGATACGTGCCTCCTTGTTCATGATGAAGATGACTCCTACCCCCCTTTCATGACAAAACCAGGACCGTTTCTTGTTTTAAAAAAACCGTGGGAAGAGTTCAGTCAGAAAGTAGATGGCTGTGCTCAATGGCTGTATGCAATTACTTGGCTCGGTCCAGTCAGAAAGCAAGCACAGTGAGGACGATTCTAGCTGAAACATAAGCCCTGCCGTAATCATGGGTAGAACATTGCGGAGATAATCCATCCGGGTCATTGAGTTCGTAACATAGCATCTAGTGCTTGCTGTCGATCACTGATCTTTGATACTCTGTAACACTGTAAAACGACTGCAATGCGGTGGCTGGACAGGTATCGTTGTTCTTCTGGGATCAGGTAAATCATCTTGACTATTGCAGCCTGAATCTACAAAGCTTGAGACTGAGAAGGCAACGACATCCTTAGTGGCGCAGCAAAAAATGTCTTTGGGTTTTCAGGGCTTATGCCAAGGACACCAACGGCAGAATATCCACCTCGTCTGCTTCTCTCCCCCAAACGGTTCTTAGCTGGCAGAAGGAGTGTTTAGTCAATACAGTAAGCGAGGCATATAAGAGTGAATGCCCTGTGAGTAAAATATTGAATAAGAGGTGGGCTTTTCGTAGATGTTGAGGCCTTGATCCCGAAGTTTAGGTAGTTTCGGCCGGCGGTAGGAGATTGTCTTGCTGGTTGAAACCCACTTGAATTCGTGCTTGATGGGCCAGCGGAGAGAAAGTTGGAGGGATGAAGTGGCACAGTTCTTGACTCAGCCTGCTCAAGTCAGACCGATCTTTGTCCTGATCAAGGGTCTTGAACTTTGTTAACTACTATCACAATGTACCAAACAGGTGTTACATAATCACGGCAGTCCATGAACGTAACATCAAGGCTGAATGAACATAAATTTTCGACGGAGGGTTCTATCTGGTTTAAAAAGGTGAGCTGTGTAAAATTGCCTTGCCCTTCCCGCCTGTTCATTGTAAGATATATATAGCAAAGCTTGACTGTCATGTGAATGAGCTACCAGGAAATAAATATGGACCAGCAGAGCAAACTAGGACAACTAACCCGTGGGTATCAGGTATATTTTTCAACAACTAACAAAGAAGTATCTACGCTGAGCCGGAGCCGAAATCCCAAAGACTAACAAGCAGACTATCCTTCTTCTCCTCTTCTGGAGCAGCCTTTGTGAATATATGCTTAGGGATCATAAACTCGATGACAGGAGGCTTCTTGACCTCTTTCGTCATCTCGGCCTCAAGAAGCTGCAAACCAGTTAGCGGTGATTGTATCTGCTGAGGAAAAAAAGGAAACTTACACTTCCGTAGGAGTGGTCCAAGAAATCTTCTAGGTTGTACGCCTGCTTGGTAAACTGCTCCGAAATAATCTTACAAATGGTGGCCACGTTCGGGTGATAATGAGACTGTAATTGCACAATCTCCCATAGACAGCTGTCGATAGCACGAGTTTCCATGGGATCTGTCTCATTTGGCAGGAAAGGATCATCCAACCCGTCCTTTTCCAACTTCTCCCTCTCTTCTTTTGTTCGCGGCACACGATGCATCATGAACGTTGTAAGTGGGTGCTTCTTGAAAAGATTGTAGAACCATGGCACGATAACAACGATCGCACTTGGCGGGGCGTTGAGTGCCAGGCGGGCCAGACGCTTGATGAAACTGGCTACCAATACAGCAGGCAAGTGGGTAGATGCCAGGAAGGTGTCGAGAAGGCGGAAAAAACGGGACCGGTACTTGGAGTGGAGGATATCGGCGTCAAGTAGCGAGTAAAGCTTGGTGTAGAACTCAGGGTAGTCGAGGTTTCGTTCCTGAATCAGATAGAAAACGCCAGAGAGAGCCAACAGAGAGACGGAGCCGCCCGAGTTGTAACAGTCCGTCAAGAAATCCATCAGCATCTCCGGCTTAGTAAACCAGGGAGCTATCGAGGCTGACATGACTTCCAAAACCTTCTTCCTCTGTTCCTTACTCAAGCCCAGGTGCATGAAGGCTAACCAAGCTTCTTGTGCTTGCTTCTTGTGCTGGGAAAGGGAAAGGAGGGGATGCTTCTTTTTTGGGGGGCGCTCGATAAAAAAGTTCTCAAGGGAGTCGTTTGATTCTGGGACATCCTCAATAGAGAGCAACAGATTAAAGACGTTGTTTCGTACATCTTCATCAACCGACTGCTCTCGTTCTGTCAAGAAGTGCCTGTATAACGTTAGTACCAGTAAAAACCAGCAACTAGAGATACGACGGCGAACGTACTTGATAGCTTCGAAGGTGTAAAACCGAATATCATCATATTTCTTGACAAAATTCTCAGAGAAATGCCCACGCAAATGCTCAATTGGGGACTCGAGAACAACGGCGATGATCTCCAGGAAAAAGGAACGGGGGAAGATGGCTTCTTCACGGTCCGTCAAGTGTTGGGCTTGCGCTTTTAGAACGGCCATGGCAAGAACAAGGGCATGGACAGCTAATTTCTTGCTCTGAAGCATTGAGAGCAGAACACCGTCATAGTCTGAGAGCCGGTCGCGCAGCCAATTAATAATGGTAGCATCCTTCTCTGAGATATCTTTTCGCTTCACCAGGCTGCCGGCAGCCAGCAGGCGAACGAAGACACGACAAAGTGCTTCGGCTGCAGCTAAACTCCACTTTGGGTCTTCATCATGTTTTTGCGCGAGCTCGATTAGATTAGCAATATTGTTGTAGTGCTTCTTGGATTCGGCGATCTGCTCTTCGAGGTTTTTGATGTGCTGCTTCTGGGCTTCGCTGTCGCCGTTGCTAATAGACTTCCTTCTTTTCTTGCCTTCGTCTTCATTCTCCTGGCGTTTCCTCTTGGTAGAGGCCTTGGTCACGGTCTCGACGGCGCTAGGCATTGCAATATGAAGGCTACGAAACCACAGCTCTGAATCCTGGTTCGCCGTGGCGTATGTCGCGACCGCTGCGCTGGAAGGAGTCGCTGTGTCGCAAAATTTAAGTGGGGTCTTTGCCAGTTGATGGAGCGACAGCACAAATTGGTTCCAGATGGGAAATTTCAAGGCTGCCAAGATTCAAAAAGCTGCTTATCGGCTATCGGAGCCCGAGAAAGTCAACTTTAACATCACGTGACATGCACGGCAAAGAGCCGGGCCAAGGTATTCCGTTAAAACCTCAACTCGCACTTGGCGTTCCTTGCAGCTCCCGACAACGACCCAGCCCCGTCACCCGCTTGATATCCCGCACCTCACAATGGCGTCGCGTCTGGCGAGAAGTGCTGTCGGTGAGTGAGAAACCGTGCTTTTCGCCGGCCAATTGACCGCGAAAACAGCCTGCTGACCTTCTCCCTCCAGGGGCTGCCCGCCTTCGGCCGACCATCTCTCCGCGCACCCTCCCCGCAGTCTCGTCCCTCGTGACGGCGCGCAACCAGTCGACCCAGTCTAATGTGCCCACCACGGACCCAAAGACCAAGGCACAGTCCATCATCGATGCTCTTCCTGGTAGCAACCTGCTGTCTAAGACGGCCATCCTCTCCTCCGCGGCCGGTCTGTCCATCTATGCGCTCAGCAACGAATACTACGTCGTGAACGAGGAGACGGTCATCGCCTTTTGCCTACTCAGCGTCTGGACTGGTCTCATCAAGTATGGCGGTCCTCTTTACAAGGAGTGGGCTGAGTCGCAGAACAACAAGATTAAGAACATCCTGAACGCTGCCCGTGCCGACCACACCCAGGCCGTCAAGAACCGCATCGAGGACGTCAAGCAGATGTCCGAGGTCGTCGAGATCACCAAGTCCCTCTTCGAGGTGTCCAAGGTAGGCTGAGACGAGAATGCTGGGTAGCAACGAGTAGACAAAGTGGGATGCTGATAGGTTGCTGGTAGGAAACCGCCCGCCTAGAGGCTGAGGCCTATGAGCTGGAACAGCGCACGGCGCTGGCCGCCGAGGCCAAGAACGTTCTGGATTCGTGGGTTCGCTACGAGAGTCAGGTCAAGCAGCGCCAGCAGAAGGAGCTCGCCGAGGCTGTCATTGCCAAGGTGAAGAAGGAGCTGGAGAACCCCAAGGCGCTGGACAAGATTCTGCAGCAGAGCGTGGCGGATGTTGAGAGTAAGTTCCTGAATATGCCACATGCCAACATGAGGAAAGAAGAGTCTTGCTAACACTGCTCAAGGGATCTTTGCCTCTTCCAAGTCTCAATAGACAGCTGCTCTTTAAAAGAGTTGCGCATCAACGCGAGATTCCCTTTGTATCAGTGTCGATACACAACCATGTGCCATAGTCCAATGCGAGTGCCTTCATGATGGCAGTAGTATTGGAAGTTTTGTGAAAAGGTCTCTGGGCAAATCCAACTTTGGTGGGGATCGGCCTCCCCCATTCCACAATCCGTGCATTGCAGTACAGAGAGGGGTTGAAACCCAGATAATCAGCTCGAGTAGACCCATCTTGTACTGCCGCAATGATCAAAACAGTATCAGATACATGGTTAGTCATTCAGAGCGAACTTTGCACAAGCCTGCTTTCCTCCACGGAAAAGGAACACATGTGATGCTCATGCTGCAGTCCACCCACACCATTGCCTCTGCTTTTTAAAAGCTGACCCGTGCGCCATTTAACTGAAGCCAGCCCAGAATGCGGTATGCCTGATGCTTAATTCAACAGCAGTCAATCGCTTTGATGACAGTGAATGGGAATAATGAGCCTTTTGAGCAGCCAGCTGTCTAACAAGCTGCATGCTGAGCTACCTTCTACCTATCCACTTATAGGCAGTTTGGTTTCCTGAGGCGGGTAGGGCTGGATAGTGGAGACAGAGTTTCACATTCATCTGAAGTCAAGCTCATCGTTCACTTGGTCAAAGCTGCCGCAAGGATAACAATCTTGCAAATCATCTTGATCTACATCCAACGGATGATATCATGTGGTCACAGCATCCATTGGAGCTGTTGTTTTTGGCATCTGCCAACAACGCAGAGAAAATGCCAATGGAAGACCCCCCGCCTCATATATTTTCTCGAACCAATCTGGTCTCTTATCTCTCTGTGTCAGCGCTGCTTGGCGTGTTGTTGCCATCGATCGCCAACCCTAACTTCTTGCTGAGACAAGCCACGTAATCAGAGGAAAGCAGCTCGCATTTCACAAACTTCAGAACGAAGCCCAAATTGAGAGATAATCTGACATGAACAACGGTCCGGCTTGGCCGCCGAGCCCTAGCCCAGACATACCAAACTACGGCAGCATCATTGACAGCAGCAACAGCCAAAATAACCGGCATGACGATGAACCTCGGGCCGTATATCCTGACTCCGGCACCGGACGGGCCGGCCCCAGTGCGACTGTCAGGCCTGGCGCGGGATCACATGCAATTCGCATCCAAGAACCCCTCGAGCGGCGACCGTTGCTTACCAGCTCCCAGCGCGCCGCCTTTTCGCACAATCTTGAGGGCGATGTCTTCAGCTGTTACAGCCATGGCACCGACAGAGACACCGTCGCGGCACATCACCGATTGCCCGTTTATACTAATATCCATCGCATTCGCCGCGATATCATTTCTGTGGTTGAGGATTACCTCTCATTAGAGCAGCTACGCGATGTACGGCTGAACGTGTCCGTCATCCGACCCCTCGTGGACAAGTTGTATGAGCAAGATGATATCTCCATCGTCTACTGCCTGCTGGTCAATCGCGCCCAATTCCTTAGCGAGCAGTCGCACCTCAGCAACCGCCAAAATGTCAATTACACTCGCGCAATGTTATGCGAGCTGATTGCTACTCGCATACTGCGCCGATTCCACGAAGACAATGAAGGCCCAAATGGCCTGCTTGTGTTGGCGCACGTCTTGATCGCCGGCTTCGAGCCGTTCCAAAACGCCCCTGAACATGTTCGTGTGGAAGCTGGAGCTGCAGCGGCGTCGCCACATCGGGGCACAATGCCTGCCCTGGAGGTCGCCATCCTGAGTGAGGCTCGTGTTTTCCTGGCCAGCACGGCGTGTCAGAAGATCGTGGATGCCATTTATGATGGTCGCATCGTCTACACGCCGTCCAGTTTCATGGACATCCTTCCCGACCGTTACAAGCAGAGACCCATCTCGCTCTACGACCCTCGGAAGGCTCCTTTGCTGAACCAGTATCGTCTTCTGGTGCCGCGCATCCGGAACTACCTTGAAATCGGCCAATTCATCTTGCTCTTGTGTCTGTACTTGTTGTTTATGGGCGAAAGAGATGGGACACGGCTAAGCAAGCTCGAGGTGTGTTTTACTGTGTATGCTCTTGGCTGGGTGTTGGATCAGTTTGCGACATTGCTAGAGCATGGATGGTATGTAGATCCTGAATTATCGGCTCTTGCCTCCAATTGGCTTGCTAATAGGCTTTCAGGGACGTTTATGCCCAGAATCTCTGGTCATTCCTCGATGTCACATTTGCGCTCATCTACTGGGTTTACCTCATGATCCGCCTTTACGGTTGGTTGGCTGGCAAATCGTCTTTCGCTCAGCAGGCCCTAGATGTGCTGGCTCTGGGTGCCCCAGTGCTGGTGCCGCGTCTTGCCTTCAACATCCTCTCAGATAATCTAGTCTTTCTGTCTCTGCGATCAATGATGTCAGACTTTGCCCTGCTGAGTCTGTTGGCAGCTTGGTGCTTTGTGGGGTTCTTGCTTTCTCTGACCTGGTTAGGGAATGGCAACTTCTCGCCGGCGTAAGTGTCGTCAGGTTCTTATCAGAGTTGTCTAAATACTAACAGGTTCACAGAACCATCAGTAAATGGATGATATATATCTGGTTTGGCCTTGATGGTTCAGGCATCCAACATTCAGTTGGTCCCCCTCTTGCTTTTTCACACACATGTGGCCACTAACGATATCAGGTTGATTTCCATGAAATCCTCGGCCCGTCCCTAATGGTTGCTTTCGCCTTCCTCGGCAACACTCTTTTCCTCACGATTCTCGTGTCGATGCTTTCAACAACCTTCAGTCACATCGCTACCAATGCGGCTGCGGAGATTCAATTCCGCCGAGCTGTTATGACCCTTGAGGGAGTAAAGGGTGATGCTATCTTCGCCTATCCGCCGCCTTTCAACATCTTGGCCATCCTCTTTCTGATGCCTCTTCGAGCTATTGTTTCTCCTCGTTGGTTCCACAAAATTCACGTTGCCAGCGTACGCTTGATCAACTTACCGATCCTGCTTCTAATTGCACTCGCCGAACGCCGCTCGCGCTGGGCTCCCTTCGCCAACGCTAGCACTTCCAGCGGTGGAACAATCCCGTTACTCTCCCGCACAGCAACCCTCTCTCTGTCAAAGTACCATCAACTACATCCACAACCGACTATTCGACTTCGTCGTCGCTTTTGGGATCGTTGGCGAATCACCACACACAGCGATATCTCTACGGTCTTCGAGGTGCCTGTGCCTGATTCAGTGCTCAACGAAATTACTGCTGATGATGATATGACCCGCCACCTTATTCGCCGGCAGTTTGTCGCTCGAGGCCCCGGTACGCCGAGGGAGAACTCCTCACCTATTATCCGTTCTCAGGAAAACCAGCAATGGCAATACTATGAGCAGAACCAACGTCGCCAACAGGAGATCACTGGCTCCGGTGTTACTGAATCGCCCACGCAGACGACGGCTGATACACGGCAGCCTCAGCCATCTCGTCGCAGACTTACCACTCGGCGTGATAGCATGGCGCCGTTTCAGACTCTGCGACCTGACATGCCCGGCACTCCGCTTGACACCGACCCGGAATCGACGATGGAGGGGTTAGGCGTTAACATTGCAGACCATGGCGATCTGGCTGCAAGAATGGATGCTCTCGAAGAGGGCCTGAGACGGCTAGAAGTATTGTTGGAGCGGCTGGCAACTGAGCAGCGGGAGAAGAGCTGTAGCCGCTGTGGCCCTTGCTCGGATAGTGGAACGGCGAGGCAGCGTAATGACGATGAGGACGAGATGGAAAGAAGGCGAACTAGGCCTTCCGTGGGAAATTCAAGGCAGATGTGAAATGTGTTCTTACTTTTGTGGGGGCATAGGTGGCATGTTATCATGGCATGACAAGGTATTGGAGTTCGGGGACACATGCTTGTCAAGTTAAGTCCCATTTACAAAGGATCATCTAATTGCAAGTTTTCGGGGCATTTATCGTTTGCCAATAGAGTGCAAAGACACCTGCTTTGAGTCCTTGGGTATAAAAAAGCAGCGCAGCCGACAACGGTCCTTCCGCCTCCCAGTCTCACCGACATTGAGACTTTGAATCCTTTACACCCCCAGTCTTTGACCACTGGGAAATCTGAGCTAACCACTGCCATCCCATTGCAATTCTATGTGCAAACGGAGCTTCGCCATTATAGAACCTGTGATCCAGAAGACAGCCCGGTAGAGAACCAACCATGTGCCAAGTCACCCATTACCTTGACTTTCATTGTAAACACAGATGGGCCGTCATCACTGACCCGTGTTTTCCGGGAATGGGATTTAACAACTGCCCAGAGTTTCGCAATGCACGATTGAAGCCGCTGCCGCCGCGGCGGGTGGCAAAGGGCCAGCCTTGCCCTCAGTGGTGAGTACATCCCAATCGCACAATTTCCGTTATCTTGGCCTTGTATTCGTCCATGGTAACTCGTATTGATGTTCTCGATGACAGCGATCTCTGTGGTAATTATGACAAGAACATGATCAGAATGGTCACTGGTATTCGGAATGGCTTTCGTTGGGGGTTTGGACCAAGCAAGGACGACCCGGGATGCGACATTACCTGTTGTACAATGTGAGAGACGAAGAGACCAATCTGCTAAGCTCCTATCTGGTATCATGGATTCAAAGTTGAGCGGGCCAGAATTGTGGTGGATCTAGATCCAAGAAGCGTTCGGAATGAGATCCTTCACCCTTTGCTGATGAGTATCATTAATCTCACTCAGAGAAGGATATTACAACTGAGCGAGCCATTTCTTGGCTTCTTATTGACCTCTAGGTGTTTAAATTATTTATTTCCGATCTGCGTAGAATTATTCCGGTTCGCCAAGGGAAAAGTGATACAGGGACAGTTCGGCGACAACTGAAGATCATCTCTGAGACTTCGAGTAGTTGGGATTGACTTCACACCTTTTCCCAAACAACATGGCAATATATCTCTTCCCAAACCAAAACCATTATTATTCAGGCTCGAGGCTTTCCTTTCTCACCGGTTTTCAGTACAAAATTCCGAAACTTCGATTTCTCAATCATTATCGTCACGTGCTCCACTCACCACCTTCACAACTCGCCAAATTTTCCCAGTTACATCAAACACATCTCACACCTCCTATCCCACCAGAACACTACCTGTCCTTCAAGCCAGCCATTCTCATTACCAACCATGCTCCCAACACCATGCACCTCCCATGTCCCATTCGATCGGGTTTACGAACCGGCAGAAGATTCCTTTCTGCTCCTCGATACACTCTCATCACCATCTGAAACGGCTTTCCTAGCCTCTCGCTTTCCTTGCCAATGTACTGAAGCAATAACAACGCCTTCACCATTTACCGTTGAAGTTGGCCCCGGTTCAGGAGTGGTCCTGGCATTTCTAACCGCTCATGCGCAAACTCTGTTTTCACGGCCAGATATCGTCACGCTGGGCGTTGACGTGAACTGGTTTGCTTGCAAGGCGACAGGGGAGACGGTCAGAAAAGCGGTTAAGGAGGCCATGGCTCCTAAGAAAACAGGGGCAGGACAAGGAGAGGGCAATGGATACAAAGATGGGACTGGCTATTTTCTCTCCGCGGTGCAAGGGGACCTGACGAGCGCCCTGCGCCCTGGCGAGGTGGATGTATTGGTGTTCAACCCTCCCTATGTGCCAACCGATTCGGTTCCAGAGGTATTCCCCACAACTACAACATCATTAGCTACAGGGAAACCGACAACAACGTACGAAGAAGACTCTTGTCTGCTTGCGCTATCCTACGCGGGTGGAAAGGACGGCATGGAGGTTACCGACCGGTTGATTGCACAGCTCCCGCAGGTGCTGTCTTCTAGGGGTGTCGCATATTTACTCCTTTGTGCACAGAATAAGCCTGAGGAAGTGAAGAAGAAGATAAGGAGTATGGAAGGAGGTGGCCCTAATGGATGGCGAGCAGAGACGGTTGGGACAAGTGGGAAGAAAGCTGGATGGGAAAAGTTGCAAATAGTCAGGATATGGAGGGATATATAAGGATACGAGTAGGTATAGTATTCGCTGCGCGCATATGAGCTTGCAGGGGCCATTTATATGAGGTATAGATTATGAATGATGTTTATGCTTGAGAGGTGGTCGAAGTTCATAGGGACCAGCGGTGTCCCTCTCGACGAGGACGGCGCTGTACACTGTGGGACTTGACCGGAAAATTTGCCCGCAGTGACCCGTCTGCCGTTTCAAGATGTAATGGTTGGATAAAGCCACGAGGGCGTTTGCCCCAGATCCAAAGTTCTGTAACCAGATCCCTTTATTCCTCCATTCCCTATTTGAGCTGACCGAAGCTCTTCCAGACGTGCCGAAAAAAAATTCCCATATCCACAGCTTTCAGACGCGCACGAGAATCACCCCGCAAGATCTGCTCCTCTAACTCCCGATCAACCAGTTAATTTTGCGGGTACCAATCAGACAGCATTAAAGGTGCCCACAACCCCGAAGCCCGAAGCAGTAGTAGTCGTCGAAGAAGCCATTATGCCTTTCCCCCGAACGCCGCTCCCCTACTGAATCTCGTTGTCTTCAGCACCTTGCTTCCGAAAGAAAAGAAACGCGGCGATTCTTCCTCTTTCTCGTCTTTTTAGCGGCCGCGGGCGCGGCCACCGCGGCCGCCACGGCCTCCCCTACCACGGCCGCGGCCCCTGCCACGATCGGCCTCCTTGCGAGCCTTGTTCTTGGGTTTCGGCGCGTCATCGATGAGTAGCGTGTCGAGAGGTAGAGAATCAGGAAGAATGTAGTAGCGAATAGTGTTGCCGCGGACGGTGAGAGACTCGACGGAGTAGGGCTCCTCACCCTTGGGCGTGTACCTGACGTTACGCAGAGCCGTGTCCATCTTCGGAGTGACGGAAGCAATGGTGCCATGGACGATGGCGCCTGCCCAGTCACTGACGTTAGCATTTCTAAGGGCTACGGGGGTGCAGATTGTATGAGCGGCGCACCATTCTTAAGCTCAATCGTCACGGTTTCGTTGGCGCATTTCATAAGGAATCTGTTTTCAGGAAAAGGCGGTAAAGTCAGCTCTGATCCTGAGATATCTCGACAAGCGTATCGAGGGAAGATGGAGTATGTTCGGTGTGCCCGCAGCTTCAGTTAGTCGGTCTTAATCTTGAAGAGCGAACGACTTTGGCACGCGTCGTCGGCGGCTGAAGGTACTAACTCGGTACTTGGGCGCGCGCAAAAGAGCCAAATTAACAAAAAGTAATGTTGAGCTTACCTAACCAGCTTCATCTTGCTGAATTGTTAAAGCGACAGCTCCGGTCTCCGTGTCGAGAAGGGGATGTTGGATAGGCGAAGAGTTGACGCGCCGTCCTCGAGGGTGTAATTTCTTTAGAGACTAGCGGCTGTAGCCCGCCACTGGGTACAATGGAGCTCAATTACTGCGGTTGGTTGGCGCCACAAGGCGCAGGAGTGGATGTCACGTGGTTGTCCATATGACTATAAATACCGTGTGGTTGATGTATTATTACATTACTTACGTTATCGGAACGGCGGGGCCGACGGCTTATCAACAACCCCACGCAGCTCTCAAGGTGCCCACCTATGAACGATCCAAACATGGAAACGGCACCAGTTGGTAGGAGGATGTTTGACATACTTTGCTGTTAACAACAGCAAGATTGTTGGCATTTTTAGCACATTAGTTAAGAGTACTGGCGGTAGTGTCAAATCGCATTGGAGGTCTTCCCCCTATCCACCGATGTATTTCGTGCGCATGCTGTTGTTAAACAGGGTAGTGAACAGACCATAGCACGATCAATACAAAGTTAATGCGCGCTATCCAGCGCCAACTCCGAGGATGACATAACCCATCAACAACCCTTGTGTACATACAAGCTCGACAAACTCCTCAACCCCACCCTCCCATCTCGGTTTCTGATCCTTGCCTCTTTCATAGCTGTTATATTGCAGAAATGGTCTCCTCTATTTCTCCTTCTCGTTCTCAGCCTCCGACACTTTTTCCCATTCGTCTTCCGTGCTAACACAGCTCTTCTGTCCCTGGCTGAGTCGAGGACTCTCCTCAACGGCCCGGTGCTTGAGTTCACCATGCGCTTCCGTCGGCTCCACCTCGCTGCTCGTCGCTGCTGGCGCGGAGGCCGGCGCGGGGACCGACCTGCGCAGACTAGCCGTTGACTTTGGCGCAGCCTCGACCTCGGTCTCGCTATCATCAGACGACAACGTCACCGCAGCGGTTCTGGAAGCCAGAGCGCGTCGTTTTTTCTCTTCATCCTGTCGTTGATGCTCTTTCAACTCACGAGCGAACCAGTTAATGGCTGCCCAGAGGCCCCCGCATAACACTGACAGCACCATAAAATGGATGCTCCATGTTGCGAGGAGCAACAGAGCGAGTATAACTTGCAGCGCAGCAAATGTGACGTTGGTAGCCACTAATAGGGTCGGAGTTGGCCCTGGGGTGAAGATGGACTCCCAGAGACCATGTAGAAAGGAAGCCATTGCCACGGTCGAGAGCTATGTCGATAGCTTTGTGACTTGACTAAAGTAGGGCAAAACGGAGATCGTGGGTAGTCGTAGATGACTGGAAGCTCGTCGTAGATGTTGGTTTCCCGGTCTAAATGTATGATAGGGTGGTGTGACAGCGATAAAGGACGAGGGAGCACACCTAGTCCGTATTCGTGGTGGCTGCAACAGTGACTGCGATGCGTTCCAGGTTGTGGGTGGGGCTCTAGGCAAGTATCTGTATCGGTGGGGATAACGCCGTCACCGATCCTCTGTCTCTAAACAGGTAGATGCTGCTGAAGAACGCGAGGAGAGCTGGGCTGGAGATAGCGGTGTCAGCGAGTGCAGCGCAACAAGAGGGCCTCATTTGTAATTAAAGAAGTATTGCAACCAGATAGGCGAGCTTGAAATGGCCCGGTTTGAGTGGGCCTGGAGAAACCTTCGTGGGCGGGTTGAATAGAGCGCGGCAGCTGGTCAATGACAACCGCCTTGCTGCATGACACGGTTGCAAACAGGAACGACACATAGCACTTGCTCGCAAACAACTGTGCACCCACTCTCGGAAAAAAAGCAGGTATGTACTTACGTCTTGCTTGGGGCAACGTGGTCCCCTTTGGGTTGACAAGAACCAGCGTGCGGCTGGTGGAAATGGTCGGGCAGAGATGACGACGCGACAAGGCCGAGTCGCTGGGACAGGCTTCAACAGCGGACGCGAGCAGCTCAGCCGTGCCAAGACCACACTGCAGGACTTGGGGTGACGAGGGGGAAATGTGGAGATCACTCAGTCACGTACACAGAACAAATGTAGTTTTGCTATAGGCATATTAATCAGTAATAGCTTGGTTTTTAGGGACTTGTGAGGAAATATGGCAGCAGTTCTGAGGTTCTTGCTTGCGAATATTCCGCGGATACATGATGGCAACACATGTTTTAGAACGGCGGGGAGCAGAGAGCTGAACAGCGAGAGCGGGTGGATGTTTTCTCAAGGAGGGGCAACTGCCTGACGCACAAACCAAACCTGGAACTTGACCCAGGCTTTGCTGCGGATGTTTCTTCTGTTTTGTGTCTGGGTAAGTATTCTTCGAAGACTAGGTCTGCGATAGGATCTGTCTTGGAATACTCGGTAATCAAAGTCAGGGCCGATGCCTCGGCATTGTTCGTCGAGTTGGAAGAGAACTACGCTCGGTAATTGCCCCGTAGCTGGAGAACCCGACTTGCTCTTTATACTTCTTGGGAGTTGCTACTCTCACAGCACAGATGGTCTACATGATCATAGGGTCTGCGGCAGCTATCTGGCAAGCTGGCGCAGGGGAGAGTCTCTGCATGGGATTCCATCTGAATAGCCACTCCCTGAGCAGAATGTCGCCAACGAATTACAACGATAAGGTAACCTGAATCTGTCATGGTCGAGCGCATCCAGATCCAATACCTGCCAAGGTGTGGATTACTGATTATGAGAGTGTGTGCCTGTACCCATGACACTATAATTGTACATGTGCAAACTATGCACCATATCCACGCGGCGACTGTTGTGCAAGAGTATGGAGTCGTAGACGAACATACATTGCAGCTTACTGGAATCAGGTTAAAGAGCATTGCGGTGTCTTGACGGGAGGAAAGCTTTAGATCAAGACGACAGAAGCGGCAGAAGTTGATAAAAGGCACAGATGACGAAATCCAGAACAAGCCCACTTTAATGGATCCGCACTTCGACGTTGCGATCGAGTACGTACTCCTCCACCAGCAGCGCTAGCCAATGAAAATGCATGCCATTCTCTAGGCAGCCTTGCAGGCTCCACCAACGAGGGGGCGAACCCACCAAGCGGGTTGCTTTGGGGCTGTCCAGGTCTGCAGGAGGCCGGCGGTTTTTGGAGCTCCCGCAAGTGACAACCCCCAACTTCACAGCAGTGATCGATCAAAACCGCCACGCCCGCTTCATCAAGGCTACACAATCTAACAGCTTAAAACAAAAGAAAGCGCTCTTGCACTCAATTTTGGTCTACGTACCTTCTGTAGGCAGTTTTGCGACGATACTTTGCGCTTGATAAATGTCACCACATAACACCTTACGAGCTGCGGTTTAGAACCATCCACATCATCTCCCATCTGAAACTGTTCCTCACGCATCGTTCCCTTCGCCTTCTACCTGATCAATCCCAAAGTTAGTCAACGCAATCGTCAAGAACGCAGCCGCAAACAACAACACTGCTATCTGCCTATCTCCCCAGATCAATTCGCCCTATTCCTGTGCTCTCGCGCTAGATTGTTCGTGGCCACCCATTTCCCGGGCATGTGGTTCTGAGCATCCATCAACTGAGCCGAACTCGGTCTCCACCGTTCGATAATGGACTCATCCCACACCTCAGCCGCGCATCCCGCGGCTGTCCAGGAGAAATCGAGCAAGGCAGTATCAGACTACCTTAAGCAAAAAGGAAAAGATGAGCAATTGCGCGTGCTGCGCGAGCGCAAACGACCGCTCAACTTGCTGGATCTCCCCGTCGATATCCTTCAGATGATCGCCAAAGAGGCATGTTTGCTGTCATCCTGGCTCTGCCTTGTAATTGGCTACACCAATCCCCTAGAGCGTTTTGCTAACATTGCCCTTTTGCTAGTTCACGCATACTACCGACCTCACTGCGCTTGCCCTGACCCATTCAGCATTTTACAACCTAGCCATCCCCTTGATCTATTCACGCTTCGATATTGTATGGCCTGAACCTCAGAGTGGTGGCTCCGAAGGCAAGAGCGTCGATGCTCTTACGTACGGTCTTTCAACACTTTGTCTAGGGAGCTCTTTTGCCCACACGATTCACAAGTCGCATGGGAAATACTACAATTCTTCCGGCCTCACCAAGCTCACAGACAACAACTATGCGAAGTACTGCAGGAAGTTCTCTTTGGGCAATGGCCCCCCTGAGTGGGTATCTGACTACCATATATCAAAAGAGAGCGGCAGGATGCTCGGCATTCTTGTAGCCATGGCTATACGGAAAATGAAGAACCTCGAGACATTTATTTGGGACATGCCCACTGGTGTTTTATCTGAGGTTTTTATGGCGCTGGCTTCGTTGGGGGGACCGTCAGGCAAAGAGACCAGCTTGAATCGTGTATGGGTTCGCTGGCACGATAATTCCGACATCTATGGAAATGGCGAGTATGATCCCAACGAAGAGGCAACCACTACTGCCCTAGTTCCTCCGGGAAGCCAGCTCACACCTGTCGGCATTCTGGTACCTCCTGAAGCCGATTTACCTGTGCGTCTAGAGCCGATCAAATACTCCGAATACCGGTGTGAATACCCGACTTTTAGCTGCCTGCCACCACTTAAAAGCTTGACGGTTCTCGACATTGATGAAATTGGCTATCTGGATGAAATGGCCACCCTCATCGAAACTTCGAAAGATACGCTGCAAGAGCTCAGAGTCGGCATTGCACTCAGAGCTGTGGGACGTGATTTTGCACAGACATGGGACGGGCCGAACCTCAAACAAGTGGATCATGAAGCCAGGTGGCCTGGCGAAAGCAGGATTGGAGAGAGGAGACTAGGAGGTGTTTTGGGCGTGCTCGTGGGAAAGATATATGACATCCGGAAACACAGGCAAAGGAAGAAACCCGCTACAGGGCCTGCTCCCACGATTAATGGTACAACTGTTCCTGCTAGTACAACGTTGGCTGCGCACACATTGTCCACAGATGACAATGAAGACAAGGAAAACGACGTGCCAGCATCAGCTGAAATTGCAACAAGTCTACCGAATGGGGATTTATTAGCTAAACCCAGATCATCTGAAGCAACGTCGAGCAAACCTTGTCCGGAGAGAAAACTTTTGGACGGAAAGTTAAAATTACATACCCTGGAGCTAGAACGGGTTGCCCTCTCGCTGCAAGTGTGCAGACATGCTTTCGATTGGTCAGTCCTGACTTCTCTGACCTTGCTCGGCTGTGCCCAGCATGATAGTCTGTGGAAGATGCTACGAAAGCAGTTTCAACCAACCCCAGTCAATGTTGACCTCAACGGCCAGCCGTCGCGTTCGAATGGTCCTCTTCAATACCACTTGGCACTCAAGCATATCCACACAGACACAACCACGCTCTCTCTTATCAATTTCATCAGAGATACGCTCGCGCCAAATACTCTCGAGGTTCTTTTCTTGCAAGATCGCAGGCGCGCTACACACCCCGTCGATATCGACATCATCTTTAAGGGGGCCATCAAAAAGCATTATGCCAGCTTGAAGAAGCTGCTCCTTGATTGCTCTGCCCTTCCCAACCAAACGGCCGCTACCGATAGTTCCAGCATCAGGTGGAGAAGATGGATCCCCAGCACGGAGATGGTGCGTTACATTACCAGTGGAAGAATGGCCAATCTGCGGGAGCTGGCTATTTGTCTTGATTATAGGGATTGGGTAAGTCCCAAGACAAATTACCGTGCATGTAGGTCATCAACTAACATTGATCTTAGCATTTCTTTTTGCAGAGGTTACCCAACATTCCCCAGCTACGCTCGTTGCACATTCCTCAAGTTAATGAGTATCCTCATATCCTCCCGGATCGCAGTTGCTTTGAGCCTAAGGAGCTGGCCCTCCAAGTTCTCGACATCATTACCCTTCGTCCCGAGGTTAGCCTCTGCTATGTTGGCATTGCGCAGAAGTGCTTCGAGATCCTCGAATATCGTGACAACGGCGGTCGGAAGAGAAAAGGCAAGAGTAGCAAGAATGGTGTTTCTGGTGATAGCGTTGCACCAGTCTCCCTGGGCCAGGACGGAAGCGCTACTTCAAGCACGAATCCCGCCGGTACACCCACGACTGAGCAGTACGACTCAGACGACGACGACTCAGACGATCTGCTGATGAATGATGAGCAAGAGGAGGAAGATGAGAATGGGGAATTTGTGGATGAAGATTCAGACGAAGATGATGATGAAGAAATTAGTGATGAGGATGATGACGACGATGCCGATGACGAGGATGAGGAAAGTGAGGTTGAGAGTACGGTGGCGAGTGATCCGGGCGAGCTCGGCGGAGGAGGGCAAGAAGATGACGGCACTGGCGCAAGCGACGATGATGACGGCTTTGTGGATCCAAACAAAGGTAGACTGAGGTTCAAGCTGCGGGAGATCTTGTTTTACGACGATAAGGTCGCCATTTTTAAGGCGAGGCATGGCAAGTTATGAACATGAGGACTTGGTCCTCTGGAGTACCCTTGGTGTTACAGCTACTATTCGATTTCTACTCTCATTTCTTAGGATATAGGTCTCGGTTTGATCTGATGGGTTCGTAGCGATGGGCTTTGGGAACAGGAGTTGTCTGGCGCGAAATACTTTGCCTTGTCTGTCACCCATAGGACGGGAACAAGTGAGTTAATGATACCTCTACGTAGTACTTCTGGCGTGTTGTATGCGTTTGATACAAGATTGAATTGAAATTATTTGCAACTCAATGCTTGGTTGCTCAGCTGACATTACATGACAGAGCTTACACGATCAAAACTGATCGCTCTTCTCTGTAAAGGGCCTTAGTGATGAAGAGTCGCTTCTTCCACATAAATATACGTCTTTTTCGAGTCTTATATACGTCACTGAGCAATTTACCCTGTTCCACAGAATAGTTCCAACTACCCCTTGAATTGATGCTTTGACAGGTTTTTAATCCGACAACTTCGCCTTTCTTTTCCCCTTCTTTGGCAAGCCGCGGGCGATGATATTGGGCAGTTTTCTCCTTGATCCTGGAGTACCTATTGGGGCCACCCAAGACAAAGGGCAAGCATGGACGAGTTCTGTTTTGTCGAGTGCCATTTCTTTCCACCGCGTTCTGTAAGGTTTGACAATAGTCAGAATGTTTGGATATGTCCTAGCTGAGTGAAACTAGTAAACTACAGGTACTCATTTCAACTTTAATGCTTGGAACACCAAGTCATGATCTTGTCACTACCAGAATGCCAGTTGGCTTCAGAGAATTTGGTCCGTAAGTAATGTGCCATCCTGTTACCTAGCCAATAATCTTCAGGATCATAGTTTTGCAGATGGGGTCTCTCGAGGAGTCACGCATCCATTGCTAGTAATTATGATCTTCCAGTACGAACTTCCTGGCTGACAAATCACCCCTTGAGCCCTCCCCCCTTGTCGCCACACCACATTCTATCGCTATCTTAATCGAGCGATGCGGTGAGATACAAGCCTATCTTCTGTTAATTTTCATTTTGTACAAAGTACTTCTAAAGCCCTCTTTAGGCTTGAAACTTTTGCCTACAACACATACTCTTCATGACGATGGCTGATCGATGTCTAACTCTATGGTGGAGACATTTCCTCAGAGAATATGTCAGGTACAAACCATTTTGTGACCGTCTACTTTGACCACCGCCCCCTTGAAACATCCTGTCTTTGGCGGCCCGGCGGCTCCATTTCGACCTACTTCCTAAAGCACAGCTGCGGCGTCAAGACACCACGGCATTTTATCTATTGGAGCAAAATGCTGAATGTGGAGAGAAAACCAGTTTCAAGTTCAGACAGAACAGAGAAATCTGTTCACCTGTTGTAGGCAGCGTCCCTTCACATCAGGCTTCCATTATCTCTAGACATCACTAGCCCACAGCATCTCTTTCGCCTTGACAGGGTTCTATTTGCTCAGCAATTTCACAACCCACCAAAGACGTTCGCCAGTCGAACAGTGTCTTGAGACACCATCGAGCAAAGGCTCATTATCAACCCCTCTTCAGTCCGTAAGCTATCAGAGGGCAGGCAAGCTGACTAGAATCAAACAAGCCTTTTGCTTCATGGAAGCGTCAGTGGCCCAGAGCCTCAGGGACAGGGAAGGACCAGGCAGCAAGATTGCTAATGTACTCCTGCAAACGCTGGACCTAATCCGAACGTGACACAAGATTGCCGTGTGCTGTGTTTTTCTGACAAGCATACGCCCTCTTTAATCGATACATCACATAATTTTTCAGAAAAAAGAGAAGGATTTCGCCTTGAATCTCCCGGCGGGCCGATTGTCCGTTAGAGTGGGAGGTCGGCTGGTGATGGTGAGTGGGTGAGGTAGGATGTCAAGGCCTGGGACAAAGATAGTATACTGGCAGAACTTGGCCAGTGAGCTGCCAGCAAAAGATATGGCATAGCTTTGGGGATGCGCGAGTGGCCCGGTCCAAACGCTACAAGGGCTTGTTGCCAGCGTTATCGTGCCAGGATTGTCGGAAGTAGCAACATGCGCCGCCAGATACTACTTAATCCAAATCTCATGGAATACAGGTTCCCTCTAGCTGATAGAAGATGTTTCACCTAAGGAGTAGCATGACAACAAGGGTTGTGAATGAAAACACGGTGGTTTCTGTCCGGTCTTGATGGCCTCAAACTGGCTCAGGGGCTTATTTTTATCCCTGCAGCCCAGTCAAAGCAGGTTAGCTGTTTAAGAAAGTAGGTCACGATTGTAAATGGCTCATTAAGAATCAAAATTTGTAGTTTTTGGATTACTTTATGGGTAAAAAAAACTTTCTCAACACTATCATGATGCTAGAAAACATATTCTTAAACATGTTTATTTTACATGGCAATCTTGGAGCGTACGCAGAACCTACAGTGACGAACTACCAGCTGTCTACAATGATCCAAAGTCATGTTTCACTATACTTCTCAATAACTGAAGGGGCGTTTATTGTCTTCAGTTATATTATCTTTCAGTTAAATGTCGGCCCTACACTTAGAATCACGTCATTACTAGCAGTTAGCTACGCAACACAGCTGTCTATGTGACACTACAACTGTTAAGAGATACTGGGGATTTTATGCACCCTCTCCTGTTTATGATCGCTGCTTAGACATTCCCCCTGTTGACTCGCACCTTTATAAAGACAACCATCACTGAACATCGATACGAAGATTGTGTCGCAACGGTAGGGAACAGAGATAGCGGGTTGGCAAAGGAGGCCTCCGTCCGCAATTCACTTGGTCCACCCCTCTGTCATACATATTGCTTTCTTCGAGTTGAAACCCATTACACCACTGGCATATATGCTCTTTATTTGTCCAAAACAGTAAGAATGCCAGAATATAGCCCAAGTAAGGCATCCATACTCTACCTTGCCATCCTTGACCGAAGAATCTGCAAATAGTAGCTGCTGATAGCAACCCACAACCATTTTGTCCCTCCTTCTAGAAGGAATCCTTCCCGTGCCATTTGCGTTTGTCGTCCGCCAACTCGCAGATTTCGCCTTGGTGGGTAGGCTTCTAGAACATCCATGTGACCGATAGGTTGCAAGAGAGTATGTCATAGGATTCAGACCTCCGTCCATTGCGGGGAACGGCGCCACTAAGAACGGGAAGAAAGATGAAAAGTTGATATGATCTTGGTCGGAGCGGCAGCATTGGAAGGCTCTGGGTTGGCAGACTCGCTGGCCAAGCAGTGGCACAGTTACCCTGGTTGCATAAAATTATCATTCTGTTAAGTGTCTGCCTGGCGAGGTTGACAACAGAAATGCATCCTTCCAGTACATCAACATAATCAGTCTATTCGTGTCGTTTTCCGGGGTTGTGAGGATTGGACAAGCCGGTGGACTCTGTATTTCAGTCGAGTAGTAAGACCGAGTCCGCCTAACATTGACGTTCAGTTAATTAGGTTAAGCTTCTGTGCGTCGAACTCCCGGATGGACGTTGGGGGCCAAGTAGCGTAGCGTTACGTACCGCCGAATCGGTGTGCCGACAGCTTGGGAAACGCCACCAAAGACATTAGTGACCCTATAGGAGTTGCCAAGGAGAGGAGATGCGGTAGGGAAAGTACGTTTCCAGCAGGCATGATCAACACAGCCGCGCATTGAGCCACATTATGGGACGATACCACACCTTGTCGTCCCAGTAGACACGTAGTATTGGATAAAAGCACGACGTCGATACAAGATTGTGCATCTTCGTCTCGCTAAGTGGGTGATGCCAGCCTGTATGTGGTAAAGTCATGTACCTACTTATCCGGTTCTGATTAGGACTATGACTGCTCAACACAACTCAATATACTTTCTTTCGTGCGGTTTCATCCAAGGAGCAGAGCAGCCACACACGTGCGTCTGCCCACGTTCTCATGACTCTTCGAGGACTGGCGGCCCCTGTTGAGAATTTGTTCTGGAAAACTCATCAAGGTTGCTACGCCGTTTTGAATTCCACGCTGAGGACGGACGCTTTGATACTGCGGTCCCGGTGCTAAGGCCAAGAAGCAGGATAAACCGAAGCAACAGCGTGTCGGATGCAGATTTTGATGCCAAATGCTGTCTGGACTTCAGAGCTTCAAGTCATCATGCCCATTTGCCGTTGCTGTCATTCTGTCCTGGTCAATACTGTCACCCCCCAAGCGTTTCACATGCCTGACCCCCAATGTTGATTCAACGGTTCTAGTCCAATAGTGGGCACCAGGTCTTGTTAGTAAACCTCGTAGTGGCATCAACGTGCATCTAAAAGAGAAAAGGGCGGAACGGTAGGGAGAAAATGTTTTTGCAGAACGCTGAACTGAAAGTTTCGAGTACCTAACGACCATCCTCATCCCGACAGGACCTCTTAATGACCCAACTCCAGGAGACCCAGTTTAAGTCTCCCTCCTATCCAGCGATATGACATGTACTTGGCTTGTACCGGAATCCCGTCGTGCGCACGATGCATCAACGAGAAAACCTTGCTTTTGCGGGGCCTTGGCAGGCTCGCTGCCGAGGCTCTCCGGAGGAGCAGGTCCGGGACACGGGGGCTTTAAGGTCGGCGAAGCCACATGCAGCATCCGGAACCACGGGCTTGGCACGCCGTCCTCGTTACCCCTAGCTTTGGTCGGCTGTGCCACTCTTCTACTTGTATGGCACAATGTTGCTCATGCGGTCAATCAGGGATCCGGTATGACGACGGCCGTGAGCAAAACGTCTGGCTGGTAGACAGCACATCTTCTGTGTGTTGTACAATAGACGCAACCTCTCGAAGTACGTGAGGATGGGTGTGGGTCCAAAGGCCCTTAGTAAGCCTGTGGCTGATGGCTGTGGCTAATGACGATCCATTATCTGTAATCGGTACTGTAAGTATCAGTAAACAAAGTGCTCATGCTGTGCTTTGGTGTAATTTTGGGGTCGTGTTCGGCGCTCTCCGAACTACGACTTTCTGAGCCGAACAAAACTTGAGCACTCATGGTCGCTCTTTTATGCTCTTGAGCGGTC